GGGGGGGGGGGGGGGGCGCAGAAGGGGACGTGAGCCGGGGCCCCTGAGCAGAGCCGCCCAGGGGCCCAGCACCGGCGGCTCCAGGTCGCGGCGCGCCCCCGCTCCGCAGTGAAGCGACAAAGTTAGGAGCGCGGGGCGCGAACCTGCCGCCCGCCCTCGCCCTCCATCGCGGGAGGGCTGGGTCGGGGTCCCTCCCAGCGGGAGGCCCGGCGACCCCAGCGTCCCGCTCCAGGCCCGGCCCCCAGGGGGCGCGGCGCACCCCGCGAGCGTCCCCGGTGTCCCGGACTCCGTCTCGGGGCCGGGCCGCGCGTACCGCGGGTGGTGCCGTGCACAGCGGGGAGCCGCGGCCGCCCATGGCCGGGACGCCGGGAGGCCGGAGGGCGCTGCGGGCCGCGAGGGCTCTCCGGGGTCGCCGGAGCTACGTGATCCGACCCGGCGGCACCCCCATGGTCCGGCCCGCCGCTCCGAAGTTGGCGGCGCGGGCGAGTGGGAGCAGAGCGCGCGGCAGCGGCTGCGGCGGGCGTGCAGGGGGGGCGAGGGAGGGGCGGGGCGGGGGCGGGGCGGGGGCGGGGCCGGGGAGCCGGACTCCAGGAAGGCCGTCCCGCCCCGCCCAAGCCCTCCGCCCGCCTGCGCGTGGGGGAGGGGGCCCTCGTCGCCGCGCGGCCCCTCCCGCTCCGAGGACCCCGACCTGTTAGGCGAGTCCCGGCCCGAGGGAGGGGCGCTGGGCCCCCCGTGAGAGTCTCGGTACACTTGCGCGCATGCGCCTTCCTGCTCCGGGACAGTGGGCTCTGTACATCCCCGGGAAGCACCGACCCACCCCTCACTTTACAGGCAAGAAAACTGAGGTCGCAGAGAAGGTCTTGCCCCAGGTCACAGAGCCAGGCGGGACGAGGAAGGGGCTGAACCGCGGCCCAGGCTCGCCCTTTCCCGCGAGCGCAGCGCCCCCCGCGCGCCGCCCTTCGGGTGTAACCGTCGCACGCGGTGAGCGTGCCGCGGTCCGGGCCTCGGAACGGGCGTGCCTGCGCCAGGGTGTCTCTCTCGGGGCCAGTCTGCGAGCGGCACGCGTGTCTTGGCAGCCGCGCGTGTGCAGGACGGTGCGTGTGCGCGCCGTGCGCCCGGGGGGCGGGGGGAGGCGGCGCGGCCGGCCCCGGGGTGCGCGCGGGACCTGTTGTCGGCCGGCCTGGCAGATGGGAACTTGGCTGCGGAATTAATTGCCTGTTTGTCTCCGGCTGAGAGGTCGCCCCCTAGCTCGGCGACCGGTTGCTCCCGCTCCAGCCCGGCCCGAAGGGTCGCCGCCATGTGAGGCGCAGGCGGCTGGGGGTCCAGGCCCCCGCACGGCCAGAAACCCCGGGTCGGGCTCGGAGGGCGCGGCCGCGGGCTTCCCGTGGCGCGAGCGCCCCCTGCCGGCCGCCGCGCGCTCTCCGCGCCGAGGCTGGAGAGACCCCGGGCGCCGCGGGTCCTGGGGAAGGAGACGCGCCGCGGGTCCCGAGAGGGGCCCAGACAGAGAAGGGGCCGGCTGGCGGGCCGGGGTCCAGTCGGAGGCCGCGGCCCGCGGCTCCCCGCGCGCACAAGCCCTCCACGGATAAGAACCGCTCCTCGCCTCGCCCGAGCCCCTCCATCTACCCCTCCGTCATTAGATTTTGCCCACCACCCTTTTACTTGGGAGGTCCTCCCTGCCCACGCACGCACCCCCCGAAAAGGAGCAGTGCATCATAACACCCCCCCGCCCGGCTTTCCGAGTCATTCTGACTTGTACGGTGGGCGGGGGGTGGCGCGATAAAGTGGGCAGGGGGCCCCCACTCTCACTCCGCAATCCCACAGCCCCCAGACCCCTTCCACTGACCCGGGGGCCGGAAGCTCTTCCACTCTCGCATCTCACCCCAGCGCGCGAAGGAAAACGGGCGCCAGCCCCCATCCGCACCTGGGTGCAGCGGGGCACTCCCCACGCCGTCGCCAGCCAACAGCCCGGCTGCCCGCCCCTCAACTAGTGTGCGAACAGCGCACACTCGGGCCCGGGAAGTGCGGCTCTGGGCGCCCCCCACACACTCACACTCCCCACAGTCACCCGCAGGAACCCTGATGCCGAGCACCCGGTCCGACGCCCGGGCCGGCCACGCCCGTAACTTCAGTCCGCGCCGCTGCGGCGCACACACTCACACCCGCACCGGGTTCCCGGGGCGCACAGCCCGGCAGGGCCTGGAGCCGCCGCGGGGTCCGGGGTCCCTGCGCTGCTCTCCCCGCGCTGCTGGCTGTCTCGGCTCAGAACGGAGCCTCCGAGGGAGACGGCGGCGCGCGCTGCGGGGAAAGTGCGGCGGCGGGTCCCCGGCCCGGCCCGCCGCCCTCCCCGCGCCGCGCCCTCGGCCGCGGGAGCCGCGCCGCAAAGTCGCGGGACGGCGCCTCCGCCGCCCGCGCGTCCGGCCGCCCGGCCCTCACCTTGGCTCGCCGCCGCAGGAGGTGGCTGGTGAAGCCCAGGATGATCTCCGAGTCCAAGCAGAGCGCCCCCATCTCCAGCAGGCTGGGCGCCTTGCGGGGCGCGCCGCGGGGCGGCTCTGGCGGCCCGGGCAGCGCCATGGAGGAGCGGGGCGCCGGGAGCCGAGCGCGGGGAGCGGCCCGGAGCTCCTCCCGCCGCCGCCGCCTCCCCGCTCGCGCGCTCACTGGCCGCGCGCCCGCCGCCGCCGCGCCCCGCACCGCGCAGGGCCGCCCGCCAGGCCCCCAGTCCTCGGCCGCCCGGCGCTCGCGCCGCGCCGCGCGCCCCCGCGCTCCGGCCCCGCCCGCCGCGCCGACAGCGCCCCCTCCGCGGGGCCCGCGAGCCAGACGCCCCGCCGTGCGGACCCGAGGAGGAGGGGCGCGGGGAACCGAAGGCCCGCTTGCCGTGGGGCGGAGGGTGGGGGTGCCGGGACCCCGCCTGCGTGGTCCTTGCCGGGTGGGCCCGTGCCTGACGCCCTGGCCCGGGAGCACAGGGCGCGGCGCTGCGCAGGGCTCCCGGAAACCTCTGCCGACTGGAGACGGATCTCAGCTCTTCCCCCTTCCGATCCGATCCGATCCGATCCGATCCGTCCCGGGGCTCCCAGGCCCTGGAGCCGCCATGCTCCAGGACGCCCCTGTCTAGGGCGACTGCTTGGAAGCCCCCATCTCACGCCCCAGCCTCAGCCTAAGCACCTCCAAGGCCAGCCCCCAGGACCCCGGTTCCACCGCCCTGACCCCCTCCAGTAACCCCTCGCAGACTGGAAGATTCCTGCTGGTCGCTTGGCTAGGCCGCGTTGTGGTCGGAGTGAGTTGGGTCCCGGGTAGATCTGCTTAGATACCAACTCGGAGCCAGACCTGTGGCTTCCTCCTGTGTGCAGCCCCTGGGCCCCTGAGGAAGGTCTTTGGGAGTTAAGGGGGAGGTGTCGGGGAACAGTGCTGGGGGGGGGCCCTGAACAGGACCCGGAAGGTAAGCGGCTAGGGGAGAAGATGGGAGAGCTGGGCCGCCTGGAGGTCAGAGGGCTGCCCCTTCCAGAGGCCCTGGTGCTTGGCCCGCAGGACTCAGCAGCTTGACTAGGGTGCTGCCACTGGGCCGGCCAGGCCAGCCTCCCTGCCCCATGGAAGGATCATGGAGCCCCCCCACCTCCCCTGAGGGCCAGAAGACCCTCCTGCCCCCCCAGGTTCCTCCCGGACTCCCACTGATGGCCGCTGAAGGACGCCGTTTCCACCTGACTGCACCCAACAGGCACATCATAAACACCTTATCTGTGGGCCACAGGGCCAGCACCCCGCCCCCACCCTGGGTGCAGGTCAGGAGAGAGACCCTGGGAGGAGCTGCCCCCCTTCTCTGCCCCCATGGCCAGCCCTGGCCTAGGGCAGAGATCAGGGTGAGCTGTAAGAGGGACCGGGGTCACCGTCTCTCCCCCTCTTCTGGGCTCCTCTAGCCTGGACTTAGGAGGGGTGGTGCTCCGGCCCGGCTCCCTGGAGACTCCCATCTTCTCCCCCCCCCCCACAGGTGGGCACTGGGGAGAGCCGTGCTGCCCCCCTCCTCCAAGACCCTGAGCCTGGGGGTGGGGGTCTCCTCCAGTGGACCCGGCTCTTCTGGGAGGAGGCTGCCCGCCATCTCAGTGGATTGATTAAAGTCATTGTGGAGATTTTTTTTAACGTTTAATTTACCGAGCACGCAAAGCCGGTCAGAGCTCTCCCTGGGGAAATCTAGGCCAAGGGAGCAAAACAGAAAAACCCCTGCAATTGAGCAGAGTTCTGACGGGATTAATTGCTGGACTCAGCTTCCAATCAGACCCCACGTGGCAGTATTTCAGGGAGTCAGGAGGACACTGGGCTGGGTGGTCGGATTCCTGCATCAGGCGTGGAGAGCCCGAGCCCAGCACACCACCTCTCCAGGACCGCGGGGGACCTTCGCAAGCCCCCCCGCTCCCATTCCACACACAAACTCGTCTGTCCTGGGCCCAACACCCCGTCGCTGGCCTCCAGCTCAACCCCAAGCCAGCCTTTAAAACGAGGGGCCGGTCCCGGAGGGCTGGGAAGGCACCCCCATGCCCGTCCACGGTGCACTCCGGACCACGAGCACGCGGCAGCCATGTCTGTGGTCGCGGAAAGCTGGGCCAGTAGGGAAACAGACAACAAATCCTAACATTGATCCTCCGTGATAGTGGATGCGGGTCAAACCCCGGACACTGTGTGTGGCACGGCCAGGCCTGTCTTTCTAAGAGATGTCTGCCCATAAAGGCTTGGACCCTTCCTAGGAGAAACACAGACTGGTAACAGCCTCTGGGAAGAGGAGAGGGTGGAGTCAGGGAGAGGCTTATATCTATCCCTCTGCATGGTTAATATTTAATAAGGAGATAAGAAAGTGCCAGAATGCCTGCAGTCAAAGATCCGAGGCCCACCCACTAGGGCCACCTCAGTGTAGGGCAGACCCTCATCCCCTCCGGAGTGGGGACAGGAAGAACCTTCCCCCCTCATCTGAACAGGGCCTTGAGACCCTCCCGTGCTTCCGCATGCCCTGTCAGCTCAGCGGACTCCCCTCGGCACCCCTGCAGACGCTGGGCTGGTGCCTGTAGTGGGGGAAGGGAGCCTCAGGAGAGCCACCAGGGATGACAGGCCAGCCGGGCCCACGGGTGAAGCTCCTGGTCGGGCTGTGCTCTCCCGCTCCTCGGCTCCGGGGCAGACTTCGGGGGGGGGGGGGGGATGGCCACCTTCGCACCAGCCCTCCTACGGGGCCCCTGGAAGCAGCTAGCAAACCCTAGCATCTACCGTGGACCAGACTCCCTTTTTCCCCCTCAACACTATAGGAGTGTTCTTGTGACCCTGATTTTGAAGATGAGAAAGCAGGCACAGAGTAGCAAAGAAACTTGCCGGAATTCGTCCCAGGCGATCTGGACGGAGAGTCCGTGCCCCTATGATTGAGAACCCCTATGTCCTGCAGCCTCGTCTCCCCTCCTTGCCCCCGGGGCCTGGCCTCAGTGGCTGCAGGAGTGCGGTTGTGGAGGTGCGGGATGGGGGAGGCCCTCACCTGGGAGCTCCCAGCCGGGGGGCGGGAGCAGGAGCCTAAGACGGTCACCCCCACTGTGGGATCGGGGTTTGTTCAAGTAGAGAGGGAGACTGGCAGTCAGGCAGGCTCCCTGTAGACCAGGGCCCCTCACTGTGCCAGCCCCACCGCCCCTTCTGCTGTCTGCTCACCCCTGCCTGGCACCTCAAGCCAGGAGGACCCCGCGTGGAGCACAGGCCAGAGCGCTCAAACCGCGGCCGGCGCTGGGGCTTCAGCACCTCGGCCAGCGCCGGCAGCGGGCGGGGTGCTCCAGGGCCCACCCCTGGGCCCTTTCTTCCAAGCGGTGGGGTGGGCTCTAGGAAGGGGGGATGGATGAGGGGTGTGCGGGAGTGCTGGGTTTTCCATTCTTCATCTGGTCTCTCATTCACTCAGTTCAGTCAACCGAGAGTCAGCCTTGACGCCTGCTTGGTCTCCCCAGCCGCCGTCCTATCTACCACCTCCTGTCCCCCTACCTTGGCAGTGTGTCCAGAGTCAGACACCACCCTCCACAGCCCCCGCTGCCCCAGCCCATCTCCCCCAGCACCGTAGGTACTGCGGCAGCCCCCGACCCCAGTTTCCACGGCCGCCGCCTCCCCCTTCAGTGGCTCTGGGCGCAGGTGGGTGAGACCACGCCCACTCTGCTCCCCATCTCTTTTCCTGTGAGCCCCAGGCACCCGTGTGCCCCACAAGCTTCCTCGCTGTTCCCTCTTGAAGGGGTGCTGTTCCCAGGCACCCACAGAGCTCTCTCCCTCCTCAGCTGTTTGCTAGTAGGTCACCGTAGCAAGGCCTTCCCCTCCCCTGACCAAAGCTAGAATTCCAGCCCCTCCCAGCATTTCCCAAACGTCCAGGGCCTTCCTGTTCCTCCAGCATCTATCGAGAACAAGCATCAAAGTTTCTTCTTTGTCTTGCTTATGGTCCATCATCCCCATTAGAATAGCGGCCATTTCCCAGGTCCCTGGCAGAGAGTAGATACCCCCTGATATTTGTTGAAGAATTAAAGGCACGGGTGAACCCCAGGCATGCTTTTTGTTGCAATTCCTTTGTGGATTCCCATCGCAGAGGGGCTCCTGTCTCTCCAGCCCTCCCCGCCCCCAGCCTGGATCTCTGCTCTGGCCCAAATGCAAGCATTCCTGATGGGAATGCTCCCCAGCCCAGGCCCTCCTGCCCAGCCTGCCAGGGCTCACAGCCCCTGGTAGAAATCGGAGCCACAAGTGGCTGTCGGTCAGCCAGCCTGCAGGACGCCCATCTGGGTCTCCTACTCACATCGCCTGGACGTCTCCCTCAGAGCTGGCCACATCCACCTTCAGGCCACTCAGGAGCCACCTCCCCCAGGAGAGCTCCCACCCCAGCCGGGACCCGTCCCCCAGGCCTGGCACATCCACTGCACCTCGCACACGCCCCTCCCGAGCAGAATGAGATTCCTCTCTGGGTGCCCAGAGCCCAGCTCAGGCCAAGCATTCCCGGGTGTCGGTGAATGTTTAAGGAAGACAGGCAGCCAGTCAGGAAGGCTGACAGGTAGCAGAAGCAGACCCTCTCCTCCCGGACGGCAGGGGAGAGGCGGTCAGAGAAGAGGCAGGACTCGGACACCAGTCTCCAGTGTTTTCCCAGCCACATCCGGAACGGGGGCACTGCCACGTACAGCCAGCAGATGGCGCGCCCTGGCCACAGTCTCTGGTCGAAGGAAAAGTATGTTGGAAAACACCTGTTTTGAAATTTCAAAACGACACCAGGACCAAATAGAAGACTCTTGAGAAGATAGGGAAAGTGAAGCCCGAGGGAGGGAGGGGCTCGCCCTAGGCCCCTGGAGGTGAGGGTGGGCCAGCACCCCCTCCGTGGACACCCCGTGTCCCTCTCCACCCACCCCACGCCCCTGGCTTCCTTCTCGCCCCGGGTCTTGCTCCCTCGCCCTCCATGCCTCAGAAGCCTGAGTTCAGCCTCCAGCCTGAGGACAGGCAGTGACAGGCAGAGGGACACCTGGGAGGGGGTGGGGGGTGGGGGTCCCACTGGGTGCCCAGGTAGCTTGCCTGAGGGTACAGCCTAGAAAGCTTTGGGAGCCCCTTGGTGCTGCTGTTCCAGAATCTGCTCGCTGCCCTCCAAAAGAGCCCCCCAGCCACACCTCCACCTCTCCAGGGCAAGGCCAGCCCAGCGCAGCTGTGAAACCACAGGTACCAGGGCTGGGCATGGAGGCAGCCTCGTGAACATAAACTCTGGGCACATGTGTGTACTACAGCTTACACAAGAGTGCACTACTAGGTATTTATGAAAAGGATACAAGAATGCGGATTCAAAGGGGCACACACACCACCACGTTTATAGCAGTGCTATCGACAATGGCCAAAGTATGAAAAAAGCCCAAATGTCCATTGACTGATCAATGGGTAAAGAAAATGTGTTAGGGGCGCCTGGGGGGCTCAGTCGGTTAAGCGTCCGACTTCGGCTCAGGTCATGATCTCACGGTTCGTGGGTTCGAGCCCCGCGTCGGGCTCTGTGCTGACAGCTCAGAGCCTGGAGCCTGTTTCAGATTCTGTGTCTCCCTGTCTCTCTGACCCTCCCCTGCTCACGCTCACTCTCTCTCCCTCTCTCTCTCTCAGAAATAAACAAAACATTAAAAAATTTTTAAAAAAGAATGAAACCTTGCCGTTTGTAACAACGTGGATGGAACTAGAGGGTGTTATGCTAAGAGAAAAACAAGTATCATCCGATTTCACTCATATGTAGGATTTAAGAAACTGCAGATGAACACAGGGGAAGGGAAGGAAAAATAAGACGGAGGGAGGCAAACCATAGGAGACTCTTAAATGCAGACAACAAACTGAGGGTTGCTGGAGGGGAGGGGAGGTGGGGGTGGGGGATTAAGGAGGCACTTGTTGGGATGAGCCCTGAATGTCATATGTAAGTGATGAATCACTAAATTCTACTCCTGAAACCAATACTACGCTGTACGTTAACTAACTTGGATTTAAATAAAAATATTTTAAAAAGCACCGCACTGGTACAGCACATAGAGAATGAAAGATCATGAGCTGAGTGAATGGAGAGAGGGAGCCGAGGGAGCCACTCCCTCCAGACCCTGGGGCCCCAGCACCGCTGACCCCGCAGAGAACAGGTGCACCCCCACCGGGGCGTGCCTGGGGGGCCTCAGTGGAAGCAGAGAAAGTATTGAGCCCCATGAACTTAAGCACAGACGCAAACCAGAGAACAGTGAGGAAAGCACTTGGAAAATAAGAATATGTTAACAATAACAAAATTCAAAAGAAGGGTTAAAAACAAAGTCAAGAAAATCTGACAGAAAGTAGAGGAAAGAGAAAATAAGGGGAGAAGAAGAAATTACAGGATGAGAGTAGCAAGTTCAATGTCTGGATAATAGGAGTTTCCGGAAAAGAGAACAGAAAAAATAAGGGTGAGAAAAAGCAATCGCAGAAGCACGGACGCCTCGGTGCCCAGCGCGACAGAGGGGGGCGGGGAGGCGGGGTTCTCGGGCCCAGAGGAGGCCGTGGGAAGCTGGGAGGGAGCAGAGCCGGCCAGATTCTGCGGGGGATGGTTCCTCACCCTGAGCCCTGACGCAGCCGTCGCTGCGCACACAGGACGATTAAGGACGGACACCTTGACCTCTGCTTTTCTTTTTTTTTTTTTTTTAAAAATTTTTTTTTAAATGTTTTATTTATTTCTAGGAGAGAGAGAGAGAGACAGCATGAGCAGGGGAGGGTCAGAGAGAGAGGGAGTCACAGACCGAAACAGGCTCCAGGCTCTGAGCTGGCAGTCAGCACAGAGCCCGACGCGGGGCTCGAACCCACGAACCGCAAGATCATGACCTGAGCCGAAGTCGGACGCTTAACCGACTAAGCCACCCAGGCGCCCCGACCTCTGCTTTTCTTTTCACTTTCTCAACGTCCCTGGCAGATGGGATCCCCCCAGACAAAGGACGAAACCGGAGAAGAGGCTGTGGGATGAAGGAAACGGAGCCCCACCCGGGAAGGAGATAAAGGGTGACTGGGAGGTGGTGAAGTTCTCAGTGTCCGCAGAGACCTCAGGGGTCCAGACGCTCAGGACACTGAAGGGAGAGGCCTTATGGAGAAAGGAAGGAAGCGGCGCCTGCGTGGCTCAGTCGGTTGAGTGTCCAACTCTTGATTTTTGGCTCAGGTCATGATCCCAGGGTTGTGGGGTCGAGCCCCTCGTGGGGCTCTGCCCTGAGTATGAAGCCTCCTTAGGATTCTCTCTCCCCCTCTGCCCCTCCCCCCTGCTCACACACACTTGCTTGTGAGTGCTCTGTCTCACCCTCTCTCTCTTTCTGTCTCTCGAAAATAAAAATAAGGGAAGGAAGAGAGGAAGAGAGGGAAGAAAGGAAAGAAGAAAATAGATTATGTAATGTATTTGAACACATTTAGAAAAGATTTAAACTTCAAGGGTTGAAACATCAAAGAGCATGGAGTTACTCTCAATGACACAGAAAACTATGCAAATTTTTTAAACAAGGTAATTTTTTTTTAATTAAAAAGCTGAACCAGAAAAAAAAAAACATAGTACGATCACAGTGCACATAGTATGAGCTAACTTGGGCAGGAGGCTCCTGTTTTCCTTAACAAGCTTTATAATTACTATTTGAGTTTTTAAATGGCATGCGTGCTTAAATTTCATTTTAAAAAATATGACGTGTTTAATTTAGAAATGTAGATAAGAGTAAAAATATACTTCTGAATAATCGCAGAGAAAAATCCCAAAGGAAATTACAAGGAAAGCAACTGAGTACAATATATCACCTCTCGTGGTCTGAGCTAAAATGGCTCCAAAGGAAAATTAAATCCTTATAATGTATGTATTATAAAACAGGAAAGAGTAAAGAGTAAATAAGCCCAACTGGGTAAAACGTACGCCCGAATGTCGCCTCGGCCTTGGGCTGTGTCCTTGGCGGTGCGTCAGGGCGTCTTCCCAAGGCCCCACTCAGGCCCGAGGGCGTTTGAGTGACTGCAGTTACGGGCCGGCTGGTGGGTGAGGCTCAGGACAGGGGAGAAGGTCCCCAGAGAGGTCCGTCCGGAGGGACTGAGCCAGCTCGGCCACTTAGACACCACCATCGTCACTCCTCGAGGCAGATCCCCCCATGCCCCAGGGAGCAGGGGAGTTGTGTGCACCTGGGACGGGTGCTGCCCCTGCGTGGCTGGGCCGCCGTGACGGAGAACCGCCCGCCCCGCCCCTGGGCGCGCCCCGCCCCTGGCTGGTGGGACACCTCAGCCCCCAGGAGGTTCCCGTGTCAGGTGGACAGAGTCCAGCAAAGTCCTAGCTACAAATGAGGGCATGACAGAGGCCACCAGAGCGTATCAGTAATAACCCCGGCACGCCTTGGGGACAGCCGGACATGCCCCAGGAAAGGGTCGTGGGAGAGAGAACACCGGAAGTCCAGAGGTGGGGGTTTGAGCTGCTGTGGTCGTGGTCACTAGGAGAGGGGCCAAGAAAGCGTGACAGAGGGGCCATATCCACACTCCCACCAGAATCAACTTATAACTAATTAATTGTATTTATTTATTCTGAGAGGCAGGGGGGGGGGGGGGGGGGGACAGAGGGAGAGAGAGAATCTCAACCAGGCTCCATGCTATCAGTGTGGAACTCAACCCACGGCTCGAACCCACGAAGTGTGAGATCATGATCTGAGCCGAAACCAAGAATCAGTCGCTTAAACGACTAAGCCACCCAGGCGCCCCCACAAGCAACTGGAAAACAGGCACAATATATAAACAGCACTTCACAGACACTGGCCACCAGGCAGCACAGGAGAGCGGTGTGAGACGGGACGGGAGCGCTTGCTGCCCGGGGAGAGAGCCGAGGGCCCATCACGGGGAGGGCGCGCCCCGAGGAGGTCTCGGGTGGCACTGGACGGAGACACACCGTGTCTGCAGGGGAGAGTGTCTGAGCGAAGAGAACACGGCTCCGGGGGCCTGCGAGGGCTCCCCTCGCACGTTCGGCGGCGAGCAGACCAAGGCGCAGGAAAGGAAACTAGCCAAGGCGGGGAAGGCGCCCGTGTCTCCAGCCACGCGGGGACTGAACACGCGCGTGCGCACACGCCCTTGGCAGCGCTGCTGCCAGCAGCCGAAAGGCGGGCGCAGCCCCCGCGTCCGGGGCTGGAGGGAGGGAGGAAGTCACCGGCCCACCCCTACAGCGCGGTACTTGCTGCTCAGCCCGGAGCAGGCAGGAAGCTCCGACACAGGCTCCCGCAGGCGTGAGGGCGTTACACTCCGTGACAGAGCCACTCACGAAGGACCGGTGTGGGCGCTTAGATGCGTCACAGCGGTAGAGACAGGAGGCAGAAGGGGAGCCCCGGGGGAGCAGGGGCGGTAGTGTTGAATGGGGGGCAGAATGTCAGTGAAAGTGGTCAATTTTATGTTATGTATATTTCCCCAAAATTTAGTTTAAAAAATACATGCTGGGAATGGTGTGCGTTCCCACCCGTCAGAAGGAATCAGCCGCATGGTTCACGAGGCCGGGGCAGCACCCACAAGGGCTGCCTCCCTGTTGGGCAAAAGTTTGCCCCAGAATGAAGGTGGGGCCGGTTCCGACAAAGCTGATCCTCAAAGAGATCAAACGCTTCCCGACCAGCTTACCCAAGTCCCAGAACAAGGCTCTTAAATACTTACAGGACACAGAAATTACACAGCACTGAACAACGCAAAATTCACAATGTGTGCCAACCAATCGGAAACTACCAGGGGTGCAAAGAAACGGAAAACTACATGATGAGGAGAAAAACCAATCAACAGAAGCAGATCGAGAAATGATGCAGATGACAGAATCAACAGATGAGAACTTTAAAACTATTTTTGTAACTGTATCCCAATACGTTCGGGAAGATCTAGGAACCTGATACGTTAAGTAGATGCTATGAAACAGATCCAACCAAGCTTCCATAGATGGAAATTATAACGTCCAGGATGGAAATTACACCCATGGGATTCACCGCAGATTGGCCACTGCGGAAGAACCAAGTGTTTGGATAGAAATAGAAACTACCCAACGAAACACAGAGAACACAAAACACTGTAAGCAATGAACAGAGGTCAAGTGGCCTAATGCACACACACCGCCTTAAGAAACTAGAAAAGCAAAGCACATAAACCCAAAGTGAGAAGGGAAATAGTCAAAGTGGAAATCAATTAAATAGAACACAAAAAATAATATGGAAAATCAAGCTACGAGCTGGTTCTTTCAGAACATCTCTAACCACGCTGATCAGGTCAAAGGGAGAGAAAACACAAGGCATCAATATTAGGACCGGGAGATGAGGCAAGGCCACAGACCCTATGGACGTTAAAAGAATGGTAACGGAGTATCGGGCTAACTTCCAATCTGGCAAATTCGGACGGCTGAAGTTCACGGGAGCAACTGAAAGTCTTCTGACAGAGCTGGGGAACTGGAAAGGGAGGGGGAACCACAGGAGCCAGATGAATCCTGTCCAGTGGCCGACGTGCCCTTCACCTTGATCGTGGGGGCGGTTTCGTGGGCATGCAGTCGCTCAAAGTCATCGAATTGTGCACTTTAAAGACGTATATCAGGACGTCTTAAAACTGGACCCACCCCTCAGAACCACGGTGGAAGCTCAGAGAGCCGGTGGCAGCTGGCCCCAGGGCCCTTGCACAGCCAACAGATCTGTTTCCCACGGGGCTCGCCAAGTCGCCCAGGGTGTGGAGGAGGTAAGAAGCCATCGTCTGTCCTTCCCCATCTCCGCACTGATGAGCTGCACAGGCAGCTGGGGATACACGGGGCAGCCTGGCGCAGCCCCCGGGGGTTGCCTGCGGGGTAGGGGCTGGGGCTGGGGGCTGGGGGACAGAGGGGCCCCCAGGCAGATTCTGTATGGGGGCTCCCGCTCCCCTGGGGTTTAGGGGCCTGGAACAGGTCCGAAAGCCACAGGTTCAGGGTCTGTGTCCCCTCCTCCACCCCGCTTCTCTTGATGAGGTCTGCTGCTTATGACGGTTGGTCTCAGCCTCAGGCTCTGTCAGAATCACCAGGCAGCCGGGTAGGAGTGTGGCGCCCTGGCCCATCCCACCCACCGGGCCCAGGCCCGGGTGCTCTTCACCAGCCCTCCCTTGACTCAGCCACACGGCGAAGCTTAAACACCACTGACTCAGAATACTGGTTTAGCCACTTTATAGACACCAAAATTACAGCAGCCGTAACAGGACAGAGGTTTATTCCTCGCGGAAAGGACGGGCTGGCCAGGGTCCGAGGACCTACGGGCGGTGGGTCTCCCAGGCTGGTCTCGGGGAGAGTGACCAAGTGTCTCAGTTGCCCGGACAGGGGGGCCTTCTGCGCGATGACACTTTCAGGGCTAAAACCAGCAAGTCCCGGGCAAACCGGGGTGATCGTGTGGCCACCGTCCAGGGAGGCTCTGCGGCCCCCACGGCGCCACTCGGCCTGCACGGCGAGAGCGGGCTCAGCACCACAGGGGCCCGGTTCTGCCCGGAAAGGGGAAAGAGGAAGAGGGGACAGTGTCCTCCTGGCGCAGGTCTGAGGTGGCAGCTGTCTCTCCCGTCACCCCGCTCTGGGCAGAGCCTCCCGCTGACAGTGCTGTGCACGCAGCGGACACTCGGGGCTTCTGTTACTAAACAGAATGAATGCGGGGCTCAGGTAGACGCTGGCTGTCCTCATGGGGGCCACCGTGAGAGGCCAGCCCGCTCGGGCCCCCACACCAACCTCCCGCCAGGAGGTAACGCCACCCCTGGGACGAGCCCTGGCTCTGTCCCACATCCGTGCTCCGGGAGGCCGGCTGCACCGTCTCCTGGGCTTTCCGGCTGGTCCCGTGAGGTGGGCACCACCGCCCTCTTTGCAGGGGTAAGGGAGGAGGGCTCCGGGAGGAAGGGGGACTGGCCAGGGTCACTTGCTGATGGGCAGCAGGGCTGGGATTTGAAGCCAGGGCTGACCCTCAGTCTGTGTCAGGATGGGGGGCAGAGAGGGTCCTCCATCACTCCAACCCCTAAGCTCTCCACCCTCGCCCCTGCCCATGGCCAGAGCCCCCTGCCAGGCTAGGGTGGCAGGGGCCAGTATAGGGTGAGGCCCCCTCTCCTCAGCCTGGCTCCTGTAGCAGGAGGGTATGTGGGGGGGAGGGGGGGCCTGGCTCAGGGAGGTCCCTGGGGGTGCCCCTCCCCCACTAAAAGGCAGCTGGTGGCAGGTGGCAGAACTTGCTGGAAGAGACAGGGCCAGAAGCAGGGCTGAGGCTGGAAGCTGGGCGCAGGGTGGGGACCTGGCCACCCCACCCAGCACCACCTCATGTCCAGCCCTCTGGGGTTGGAAGGAAGAGGGAAGAAAGGACGGCCAGCCCGGCGCCCCGACACTGAGAAGCTTTGAACACACGTTTATTTTCACCAGTCTGTCACGCATATACCGCCCCCCCCCCCCGGACAGAATGGTTGCAGCTACCAACACCCAACACCCCTTAACAAGCCCCCCACCCCACCCCCAGCCTCAGCAAGGGTGCCCGGCTGGCTGGACACGTGAACAGACACTCTGTAGGATCAAATCTCTATCAACTCCGGGCGGTCGGGGCCAGCGTCTGAGGCCCTGCAGAGAGGGGGCCACCCGGCAGGTTGCTGGGGGAAGGGGAGGTGCTGGCTGGAGGGTCGGCACAACCTCCTCCCCCCAGGCAGCCCACCTCACCTCTGCCGCCCTCACACCCACACCCACGTGCAGGTGGGGCCCGGGGACAGCAGGTGACTGGCCCAAGGCCACCCAGCCGGGCGGTGCCTGGTGACCTCAACCCCAGACCGTCGGACCTGCCTTCCAGGCTGCCCTGGAGCCCCTCTAAACACTGGGCCACAGACGCCGGGACCTGAGGGGCGCCCCGCTTCACTCCAGGCGGGTCGGCCTCGCCTCCGCGGCGCAAACGCGTCTGCTGGGCCCTTCCGGGGCCGGGCGCGCCCGGGGCTTTCGCGAGGCCTCCCCGCCCTCCCGCCGGGCAGCGGCGCCCCGGGCCCCACGCGGCGGGTGCGGACGCTCCCCCCCTCCCCCCCGCTTTCCGTCCGCCAGGCCCCGGCTCGGTCCACACGCGCCCCCGACACGCGCCCCCGCCGGCCAGCGCCGCCCTGGGGAAGCCGGGGCGGGGGTCCGGCCGTCGGGTCCCGGTGGGCAGCCGGCGGACTCTCCAGAAGGGTGCGGCGCGGGCGCGGGTCCGGGCGCGGGTCCGGGCCGCCTGGGTCGCCGTCGCCGCAGGCCCGCCGGCTCTAGTGGTCCTAAACATTTCACAATTGCGCTACAGAACTGTTGAACTGTTGAGAACCACTGGACCCAGCGCGCCGGGTGAAGTCCGCGGTCCGCCGCGCTGCGGGGAGAGAGCCGGCCGCCCGCGCCCCGCCGCCCCCGCCGCGCCCCGGCGGCGCGTCCCCTCGGCCCGCGCCTCGCGTGGCCCGCCGGCTGCGTCCGTGCGGCCGCGGCGCCTTTTAAGCCACGCGGCCGCCCGCCCCCGCCTCCGGAATGCGGCCGCGCCGCGCCGGCCCGACCGGTTTTTCCGGGCCAGGCGGCTCCCGGGCCGACGGGTCGCGCGGCGGGTCGTCCGCGGCCCGGGTGCCTGCTCGGCGCGCCCGCGCGGGGGTGGCCCTGACTCACCGGCCCCCCGGCCCCGCCCGGCGTCCCCGCCTCCAGCGCCCGGCCGGGTGGCACCTGGCGTGGCCTGCCCCGCGCTGCGGGCCCCGGGGCCACACCCGCTCCCTCGGGCCCGGACCCCCCCCCACCCCACCGCCAGGACCCCGGTCTCGCTGCGGCAGGGACCCCGCTGTCGCTGCGGGAGGCGGCGACCAACACCGGCCCAGCCGGTGCGCGGGGCGGCGGGGCCAAGACGACAGCGGCCCGGGGTGCGCTCCCGGGGGCGGGGGCGGGGGGGGCGGGGGGGCGAGGGCGCGGGCCGGACACGCCCATCCCGGCCCCTCACTTCAAAGGGAACTTCGTGGGAGGGGGGAACAAAGAGAAAGTGAAACTAGACGGAGGACGAGAGGGACGGAAAGAACGCGCCTAGCCGGTTTCTGGTTCTCAGACCCTGGTTCTCAGAGAGTAAGGAGGGCGGCTGGGAACCCCCAGCCCCCCACCCCCCCAGGGCCCACGCTGGGAGCCCCATGCTGCCCCCATCCCCCACACGGGGCCACAGCCCACGCCGTGCCCCCTCCCAGCATGCGTCAGCGGAGCCCCATGCGCTCTGGCCTGCCCACTTAGTCACCTGGAGGTGTTGGGGCCCGACCCGCAGCACCCCTGGGGCCTCTTGCAGGGTGCTGCCCGCTGCGGGCGCAGGGGGGCTTGCGGGGCTCTAAGCTGTAGGAAAGAGACAGTTTGGGCGGAGTATCCTGAAGTCTTCAGCCCCCATTTTGAGCCACTGGTGTGGCCGCATGGGGGAGGGTGGCAGGGGCTGAGTTCAGGGCGTGTCACACACACACACACACACACACACACACACACACAGTCCCCAGGAGACCAGCGTCCTCTTGGCTCAGGGTCTCCTGAATCGGTCCCCCGGGACGCAGCCACCGAGTCACGATGGGCACTAGGCATTTTCACCCACACTGTCTGTGGTTTCCCTGCCCAGCCCTGTAAGGTGCAGAGCGAAGGCTTCCCTCCTCTCCATGTGGCATTTGGAGAGGGGCGGGCACCTCTCAGAGGCTGACAGCTCTTGGTGGGGACCCGGGCCCAGCACTGCTGCTGAGTGACCGGGCCTGAGCTGTGTTTGAGGTCAGACCTCGGGGCCCAGGGTGTGGGGTGGGGTGGGATGGGGGGCACAGGAGCCGGAGCTTGGGAATTTCTCCGCATCATTACCACCACTGCCATCACCACATGGGCTGGTAACCTGGCGCCGCCCAGGCCCCTCCCCACTCCCCCCAACCCTCTCCTCATCCAGCAAAGGTGGGTCACTGTGTCCAGCACCAGACGGGACTGGTGACGGGAGGGTGACATTACACGAACCTGTGGATGCTACTTGCAGCAGGAGATACTGAGGTGTGACCCGAAAGGGAACTTCCTGCCATGAAGCAAAATGGGGTGGGCTGTCGCTGGGAGTGGGGTGGCCCCGGGGCCCAGAGAAGTCTGACTGTATGCTGGAAAGCACTCGGTAAACACAGCGGCCTAAGTGAGAAAGAGATGTTTCCCAGAGATAACCCTGGGATGCCGGTGATTTGAGATGGGCCTGGGAGCCGAGGCCTCACCCAAAGTGAAATTAGTGGGTGTGAGCAGCACAGCCCTCCTCCTGGTGCCGCCGGGACCCACGTGCTCAGGACGCCTCCCGCGTCTCTCCCGCCCCCGTGCCGGGTCCCCCGCTGGCGCCTTCGGGAAGTGAGGAGGCTGCCCGGGGCCAGGTGGGCCCAGAGCCCGGGTGTGCCAACATGCAGCCCGAGCGCAGGACGCGGCCTCAGTGTCTTCAGCTGTAAAATGGGAGAGAAGACAAGCCCGTGCCCTCCAGCAGCACAGTGGGGACGCAGTGAGCTAGCACGGGGCAGAAGGCGAGCCTCCGACCTGCTGCGTGTTGGGACCCGGGGCACCGGCCCTTCGCTGCCCGTTGCTCCTGGGTGATTGTCCGAGGAGCTGCCTCACAGATCCAGACCGGCCTCCTCCCAGGGACACAAGGGCCTGTGCCTGTGACTTTCCACACCTTTCCGAGACACCCACACCCAGTCCGGGAGCCGTTCCTTGTAGGGCTCTGTGTCCCACAGGTGTGTGCCGGGGCCTAGGATGGGGTTCTGTCCTCACCACCTGCCCCGGGGGGCGCTCTCGCCCTCTGCCTGGCTGGCAGTGAGCCACCTGGGGAAGAGCCAAGCCAGCATTTGCTCTCCCTGAGACACCCAGGACACAGGTTAGGGGGACGCTGTGACACTGGCGGGTGGGGAGGGTGCGGCCACGTGGGCTGATGCGAGCCGCCTGCAGCCTTCGCGGCCGGGGCTCCTCAGGGTCTGAGAGAGGGCTGGGGCCCGAGGGACACGAAGGGGGCGGCCTGGCCTCCTTGCCTCTGCCAGAACTGTGTCCCACTGTCCCGGCCCCCCACCCCACCCCCCGGCCTCCAGCCCCACGCCCCCCTCCCCCATGCCCCAGTCACGGGGACTTCGTCAGGGTGTGGGGCAAAGGCTCCCCGGGACCAGTGTGCTCATGTGGTGTTACCCGGTTGTGCAAGGCCCAGGCACACCCGTGTCTGGGCGAGAATCTGGAAGGCTGCCAGCTGAGGTGCCAGCCCGGGCCTGGGAACCAGGCTGAGAAGCCTGGGGGTGCGGGTGGAGCCTCCCCCAGCCCGGCCCACCTGGGCCCGGCCCCAGCTGCACAGCGGGTGCCCAGGGCGAGCTCTCTGGGGTCACGCTTTTGCCCGGCATCCACAGGGCACATGCCCGCAGGCTGGGCCCAGCTCTCCCAAGCCCCCACCCCAGGGGCCAGACGGATGGACAGACAGACGGGAATCCTCAAGTGGGCAGTTAAAGAGCTGCCAAGGTGGTGGAGAACCCGGATGGAGGTATCCCCTCCCCCCTCCCCCCTGCCCCCATGCTCTCCTCATGCTCAGCAAGGAGGGGTCAGGAACTGTATCCGGGGGAGGAAAGCCTGTGGTCAGGCCAGGCCCAGAGCAACACGGGGGCAGGCCTGGGCCGACAGTGCCCTCGCCCCTGCACTGGCTCTAGTTTGGACAGGGATCCAAACACCTGATTTCACTCCCAGCCAGGCCTCCCACAAGACCCGTGGCCGCCCACCGGCCTCGGAGAGCCACACCCCCCTGCCGAGGTGCCCTGGTCACCCAGGCTGTGGCGACTGGGCGGCCAGGGCTGGCACGGGTCACCACTCATGCCTCCCCAGGCAGGGGCCACGGGCACCTCGGGCTGGGCTGAACCCTGAGGGGCAGCCAGACCGACTGGGAGGGGCCCGGAGGACTGGAGAGCCAGTCTGGCCGGGTCTGGTCCACACAAGGGGGCTCAGGCAGAGGCGGGTGTGGGGGGGGAGCTGCTGAGAGGAGGGGGCTCCAAGTGTCGGGACTGAAAAGGAGCAGACAGACGGGGGAGACGAGGCACGGGTTGTCTGGAGGAGGTGCAGCCTGAAGAAGTGTCCGGAGGAGGGGGCCCCCAGGGTGCTGAAGACACGGCCCTTTGACCCAGAGCCTGGGCGGGACTCTAAACACAAACACAAACACAGACACACACACACACACACACACAGACACACACAGACACACACACACACACACACACACACACACACGGTCCTGGGACCCAGGGCGGGACTCTAAACACACACACAAACACAGACACACAGACACACAGACACACAGACACACACACACACACACACACACACACACGGTCCTGGGACCCAGAAGGATGCCCTGGAGCTGGGGTCTGGGGACCGAGGGGTCCCCAGAGAAACTTTATTGCCACTCTGCCCAACCAAGACCTTTAGGCTGCGTGGGGGGCAGTGGGGGACACGTCCCAGTCAGGGCGGGGTGCGGCGCCCCTCCAGCAGCCACAGCAGGAAGGAAAGGCGTGTTCAGCAGCAAGGCAGCTTCAGGTTAGACTCCAGGCAGCACTTCCCGAAAATTGGTCTCTGAGACCTCTTCCCTGAGGCACAGGCGGTGTGTGGGGGCAGGGCCGACAGACAAGCCCTCGTGGGGCCCAGCCTTTCCCGGGGAGGAACCCAAGGGCCTGAGCAAACCCAGCCAGACTTGAGAATCTTCTGGAGGGCCAGATGACAGCGTGGGGGATGGGATGTGAGGTAGGAGGCAGGTGGGGGCCCCTGGCCCAGTGGGGAGGGCAGGGTGGGCAGGGCGCGCAGTAGAGGGGTCTGAGGTCCGAGCCCTTGGCCGGGGCCGGGCCCTCCCGCGCTGTGGCCGTGACCGGCCCCCGGACACACTCCTGAGGCCACTGTCCCGTGTGGGGCCGAGGGAACTTACTGGGCCTGAGGCCTGGACACCGGCTCCTCCCTGGAGGTTCTGCAGAAAGGTCACCGCTTCCAGGTTCCCCGCTGCTTCTGCCTGCGGGAGGGAGCATGGGGGGAGGGGGCTGCCTCAGGGACGCAGCCCAGCGGCCCGGCCCCAACCACCCGCCCGATGTCTTCCCTGGCTCTTGCCACCCATGCCCACCACAGCTCCAGGCCCAAGGACCAGGATAGCAGGAGTCTGGGCATCGGGGGTGGGGAGAAGAGGAGGGGGAGCCAGTGGAACTGTCAGGAGGCCTTCCTGGAAGAGGTGGCCTAGGAGAGGGCAGTGGGGAGCACTCGTGGCACTCACAACAAGCAGGGCACTGCGCCCGTCGTAGCCTGGGCAACCCAGGTCGGCCCCCGCCCGCCACCATGACTGCAGGCCTTCGAGGTCTGCCCTGGATGCCAGCCTGGAAGGGAGCGGAGGGGGGGGTGCTGTCAGGCCCCGGGCGCTGCCACAAAGCCCGCCCCAAACAGCTGGCCCGGCGGCCAGGGCAGGAGGGCAGGAGTGCGGGGTTCCCTGGGGGCCGGCAGGGGCCTGGAGTCTGGTTCCAGCCAGCGGGGGAGTCTGTGACCGGGCCGAGGGTGCACACATGTGCACACGCACACACGCCCACGTGCAGGCCAGTTTCATGTTTCACAACACCGCTCTCCCTGGGCGGGGCCAGCAGAGGCAGCAGGGAGACACGGAGCCCCTCAGCGGGTGGCCTGGGCCTGCGTGCTGGGGTGGGTGCCCACTGGGAGAGGGACTCACTCGGGACCCTGCTCTGAAGGAGGAGGGGCCCTCCCCTCCTTCCTCTTCCTCCTCCTCGCCCACCCCCTGCCCAGGGGCAGGGCGGGAAGGGAACGGCAGGTGGGCTGGCCGGGGGCAGGGCTGCTGCGGGGGGAGGGCTATCCCCCCCCCAGGGGCCTCAGTGGCCCCTCCTAGTTAGGAGGCGGCAGCAGCCCCCCCCAGTGGTGCGGAGTTATTTCTGGGGTGACTCGTGCCGGACCTGTGGCCAGCCTCCCACATACTTGTGTCTCAGAAGGGCCCTCAAATCCAGCCAAGCAGCTCAGGCTGGACGAGCCCCCCCCCAGGCAGAGTCCTGGACGCCGTGGGACCTGGCTGGCTATCACTGCCCCCTTCTGCCTCAGTTTCCCCACTTGTCAACAGAGCCATCAAGGCCCACTTGGCCGTGCAGCCCTGAACCAAGTCACCCCGGAAGTCCCTGCAGAGCCACGGCCAGTGGTTGTGAGCGGCCCCTCCCTTGCTAGGTCCTAACAGACCCGTCACATTACGGGGCCCCTGGCCCCTGTCACCTGAGGAAGGCGGGGCGGGGCTGTCCCTGGAGACACAAGATCCGAGAGGGAAGCCTCTGGGGCCCAGAGGGGCCTGCCCACCCCACTCACATCTAGGACTGGGGCTTCCGGGGTCAGGGGAGGCTGGCACTGAGGCACAGGGGCGGGGGGGTGGGGTGCACTGGCTGGTAAGGATGAGAGGGCCAGAGCTTCAGGGCCTTCCTGTGAGCAGAGAGCTCACCTACTCCTCACTCCCGGCCATTCAGCCAGAGACCCCAGTGTCCGCCCCCCTCCCCAGGCTCGGGGGCTCTGACGATGAGGGCTGCCTCTGGCACCCCAACCCTGGCTACCACCGGCGCTCCGGCCTGGCCTCCTGGACAAGCCTCTCCTGCCCTCTGCCTCTCCCCCCCACTCCCGCCTTGGCCCTCAGAGCCAGCCTGGGGAGCTGACAGGTGACACTGCGCGACCCAGTGCATCAGCAGCCCCCCTGGGAAGGAGCTGAGCTCCGCAGCCCTGGGCCTGCTCTCCACCCGGAGACCTCCAGGGGCCCCCGCTCCCCCGTGCCCCAGCACCCCCAGGCCTGCCTTGGTGTCACCCAGGGCACCTGTGAGGGTGGAGCCACATTAGTAACTGGCTGCAGTGTGCCAGGGCTGGACGGCCACCCCCCTGCGGCTGGCTTACCAGTGACAGGGACCGGACCCCACCGCTGTGGGCCCACACTGGAGTCCATCCCCCGGGGGGGGGGGGGCACGAGACCTGTCGCCCAGCTTTCCCCCCGCCCCCCAGGGTGGGCTCTCCTCCTCTGAAGCCCCCCACCCTGCCTACTGGCCCCGTCCCACGTCCCCGCAGCCCTCACCTGCACAGCTCCGTCCCTGAGTCCTCCAGCTCCTCAGGGGACAGGGAGGCCCCAGCTGCCCGCAGCAGCCCAATGACATCCTGATGCCTGCCACGCACAAGAAAGAGCACTGACCGCCCGCCCAGGCGGCCTCAGCTCCAGCAGGGCAGTGTCTCACCCCCACCCGCCCGGCCCCTCAGCCCAAGCCCGCACCTGAGCCACTGCCCCCCACCACCGTCTGGGCCCCGCGTCGTGGCCGCTGCACCCCCACCCCCCGCCCGGGCCAATGCAATGCCCCTCCACCATTCCAGCTACCTTTCCAGTACATTGTGGGTCTGTGGGGTGGGGGCCGGTCTGAGCACCCACTGCCTCGCCCCATGCAGGGCTGTCCGCCAGCCCTGACTGAGCAGCTCCTCCCCCTGCATCCTGAGGCCCCCGCCATGGCCTCCCCCAGCCCTCCCTAAGGGCCCAGTGCACTCCTGGGAGCACCTGGGGACAGCCAGGCCCCCTACACACCGGTCTCAGGCAGGGCTGGGCCTGGGAAAACCGCGTCAATCGGGCCTGCACTCTGCCCTTGCAGATTAGGTGCAGATGCGACACTAGTGGATGAATGAGAACAGTAGGGCCCCCGTGTCTGTGGGCTTCCAGGGGCTGACCGGCCTGGGCCAAGCCTGGGTGTGCTCAGGAGATGGGGGTGAGAGGTCGGGGCGTGCGGGGAGAGAGCAGGGGGGTCTGGGGAGGGGGGCACAGGCAAAGGAACTGGAGGTGCGGAGGCAGCTCTCACGGAAGTGCTGACCAGGCCCCTTGCCCCGCAGTGTCCGTGTACTATAAACTGCATGGTAACCCCACTTTTAGGAAGCCTGGGGAGGAGGGTGGGGCTCCCAGGCCTTGCCCTCCCCGCCCTGAAGAGCCCTCTAGAGCACAGCAGGTCAGGTGAGTGAGGCCAGGGGAGTGAGGGCAGTGAGGAGAGCCAGCCAGGAGACCCGCTTGGGGGCGGGGCTGCTGGGGGGGGCGGGGCAGGGATGAGGGGGCGGGGCAGGGACAGTGAGCTCATCACTATCTACCCACCCGCAGCCGGGCCCCCTCACCCCCATCCTGGGAACCCCCCATGGCTCATGCTCACAAGAGCCTGGTAAGGAGGATGCCCAGCGTTCCCCTCACGAGGACGACGTGCCCACGCAGGGCTCGCACGGCCGGGGCGCCCAGGGTTTGACCTGCACTGTGTGGCCACCCCAGGCCCACACCCCCTCGGCATCTCTCCATGAGACGCACAAGCGCCCCCACACACGCCGGAAAGTAACCCAGGATCTGGCCGGCCAAGCGACCCCGAGGGAGAACCCCCCCGGGAGAAGCTGGGGGTCTGGGGGCCCCTGGGGTGGGGGGCCTGGGGACTGCTGCAGACAGAGTGAGACAACAAAGGGTGAGGAACGAAAGCTGTGACTCCTGCCCCCCCCCCCCCGCCCCGGGAGCTCTCACACCCGCGTTCCCATGCACGCAGCATACACTCTGGTAACTGCTCTGGGCTTCCGGGGGCCCGTAGGTCTTCCCAGCACGCTGCGAGCCCTGTAGGGGGAACGGGAGCCCCCACAGTGTGGGCCAAGCCCCTCCGGACCACCTGCTCCAAGGCTCCATTGTCGGCCAGAGCAGGTAAGGCCCAGCCCTGGAGGGGGGGGTGGGCAGGGGCCAAGCCAGCGGAGGACGTGTGGCATCCTCGGGCCCCAGTGCCGCAGGGGAAGGGGGCAGGGCCGGGCGGGGCGGGGCGGGGGGGTGGGGGACAGAAAGTCCTGGTTGGTGACTACCTGCTCATTCAGGCCTTTCCTCCCCGTGAACCCCCCCGCAGCCCCCCTGCGAGGGGCAGCACCCCCAACACGTGTGCGTGTCAAACAAGCCGCAGCAGAGGCCTCGGGGACCCCAGCCGCTGCCTGTGTCCTCTGCCCCTCCTTTGAGGACCCTGGGTATCAGGTGCCCACACAGGCTGGCCAGGGCCTCGAAGCCTCAGCAAGAGCTCAGCTCTGCAAGTCCCCACGGGGTGGGGTGCACACACATGCACGCACACACACGCACACATGCACGCTCAGCTAGGCCAGGACCCCTGCTTTTAAAAGGCCAGAGCTTGCTGGGTGGGGCAGACCAGGGATCATCTTCCCTCCGTCGCTGCCTGGGCCTGTCCCGCAAGGGCACATCCCAGCCTACCATCTGGCACGAAGGACCTGCTTTATACCTGTGACAGGCAGGTGCTGGGCCAGGGGCTTCTCCCCTTTTCCCACCCTCCAGCCCCTCAGGTGTCTGTGGATGACTTGGGGGAGCACATATTCGACCCCTTGAGCTTTGTCTACGTTTTTCTTTTCTAGAAACTCCGTTACCAAGGTCTTTGCTGGGCCTGCCTGGCTGAGCTTAGAGGTCACCTCCTCCAGGAAGCCCTCTCTGACCACCCTGCCCATTCAGACCTCCCTGTCTGGGCCCAAGCATGGTCAGTGCTAGTACCTGCCAGGTTTGGGGCATGTCAGGGGGCGGGGGGGAGGGGACTGGGGAGGCTCCAGGAAGCAGATGTCCTCAGCTCTGCCCGGGGAGGCTGTGTCACCACAGGCAGCCCTGTCTAAGGCAGCCGTCCCCAGGCCCACCGCCTGTGTCCCACGTACCTGCCCTTCACCGCCAGCAGCAGCGGGCTCAGTCCATCCTCATCTTGGGCGCTCACATCCACCCCTCTCTGCAACAGCATGGACACCACCTCAGGGTGACCTCCCCGGGCGGCCGCATGCAGAGGGGTCTGACCGTTAAAGTTCTCTTGGCTCAGGTCACTGCCCTGGGGGAGGCAAGGGCATGTCACCCACTGAGAGATGGGCAGGGTCGGCTGGGCAGGGTCGGGGAGGCCACGGAGAGGGGCAGGGAGGGGCGGGGAGGGGCAAGGGAGTGGCCCCAGGAGTGCAGGCCCCAGGCCAGCAGAGCAGGGCCCTGGGGGGCAAAGCCAGCCTGCGTTCCCTGCCCCCCCGCCCCCCGGGTGGCTGGGGCTGGTCCCCGAGGCGGCGGGGGCCTCACCAGCTCCACGAGCGCCCGCAGCACGTCCAGATTGCCAGCTCGGGCCGCGGCGCAGGCCAGGCCAGGAGTCAGGGCGTCACGCACAGCATCGGCCTCCTGGGCGGAGGACAGCGGCACCCCTGGGTCCTGAGCGCGTCTGCCCCCAGGGACACAAAACCACCTCCGGGCTCCTCACCAGCTGTGCGCCCAGGGCAGGCCGCCGCCCTCTATGCCCCATTTCCTCATCCGTCTCTATCACCACAAAGGATGTCAGGACAGAGTTGCAACGGGGCACCCATGTGGGAGCCTGGGAAGGGCCACCTGGCCCCTCACCTGGAAGGGGGTCCCCTGCACGCGTGGGCAGAGCTCCCACAGGCTGCCTGACCCAGCCCCGGGAATGCTGTGGGGTGTCCAGGGGCTCCCCAACACGCCAGAAGGCCGGGAGCCCAGCAGGGACCCTGTAGGGAGCCCACACCCCGCCCCGCCCCGCCCCCGCTCAGCCCAGCACCCTCCTCAGGGCCTGAAGCTACTGCTCCTCTTGAGCTGTTAAGGCCCGACACAGCCACCCTAGTGACAGGCCACGTGTCCCAGCCCCGGACCACGGCCCTCCCGGGGAAGTGGCAGTGAACATGGGCAGAGCTGTCCATCACAGACCCATCCACCCCCACCCTGCAGAGGGGAGACCGTCATACGTGGGGTGACCCCGGGCAGCCCCGGCATCCAGTGCTGCTGCCTGCAGGCTCCCATGCCAGGCCTGGACACCTCGGCCAGGGGGGGCGGGGGGGGCACCAGGAGGCCCCCAGCACCCCCGTGGGCCTGAGCCAGCCCGAACCCCTAACCCCAGATCTAGAAGTATGAGCTCGGCTCCCCTGTCCCTTCCAGGTGAAAAGGGAGCTCCCAGGTGCTGTACCCAACAGGTGCGGCCGTGGAGCCGGAGCCCCGGTGCTCAGAGCCCCGCCGACCCAGCAGCAGGTGCCCTCGCCGTCCAGCACCCAGAACGGGGTGCTCACCTTGATGCAGGCCTGCCACTCACAGGCAACCCTGCATCCGGGGCTGGCACTGGCAGTCGGAAGGCCTGGGCCAGCCGAGTGTGGCCCCGCAGGGTGAGGGACCCCCTTTTGCCCACCATCCACATGTTATCAGGGCTCCGCTGAACTGTGCTGGCCCTTCCCGCGTGTAGCCGCGGGCTGAATCCTGGCAGATCTCCCCGCCTGGACCCCAGCCCCCACACAGCGGGCAGTACCTGGCTCAGGCTGAGGAGCTGCGTCACCTCCATGCCCAGCGCGCGGACAGTCGGCGAGGGCCGGTGCTCGTCCCCCGAGGGCAGCGTCATCTCCCCGCGCAGGTCCCTGGCCAGCAGCTGGAGGGAACACAGCAAGGAGAGCCCTGCAGCAGGCAGACCACCGGGCTAGGCACCCCCAGGGCACACAGCGAGGGCTGCGCAGGGCCTCGAACCCCTCAGGCCAGGCCCCATCCCTCAGGCCTGAGCTTGACCCCAGCCAGGTCCTCACAGGCCGCCCCTACCCTCCCTTCTGGTAGCTCAGGGTCTCTCAAAGACCCCCTGTGGCCTCCACCCAGGCCAGCCGTGTCAGAGGCCCTTGGGAAGGGCGGAGGTCGAGGGGGTAGCCTGGGAGCAGACCGAAGCTCCCCGAGAAAGTGGAAGAACACAGTCTGGGCTTGGGGTTGGCAAGGGGTGGAGGGAGCCCAGGCCTCAGAGCTGGGAGGCCCCCATCCCTGCCTCTTCCTGACCCAGGCACACAGCCCACTGGGGTCCCCATGCCCATAGCCCAAGGGGCCTGTGCCCAAAGCCGAGGGGTGCGCACCTGCTTCCTGCTGCCGAGGCTCAGCCCCGGCTGGCCCAGCACGTAGGACAGCTTGGCCATGGCGGCTTCTGACGTCATGTCGAAGCCTGAGACGACGCCAGCTCCCGCCACGGCCTGTGGGGAAGGGGGTACGAGCAGGAAAGGGGGCGCCCCTCGCCCTGTGCCCCCTGGGCCCAACCCCTCCCCCTGCAGCCCTCCGCCCCCGCCCCCACCATGCCGGCCGCGTAGCCAGAGGTCACAGTGCCCTGAAGGCAGTGTGTGCAGTTGAGGATGATGAGGCCACGCTCGGTGGCCGCCCGAAGCTCTCGAAGCAGGTCCGGCTTGGTGGGTCCGTTCCCGGAGCCGAACGTCTCCATGACCACGCCCTTCAGGGGGGGCTGCAGGAAGGCCCGGACCTGCGGGGCCCAGAAGGACGGGGAGGGCCTTGGCCTCTTGCTCCGGCAACGGGAGCCAACGGGCCAGTCCTGCGCCTTCGGCTGTGTCAGGGACGCTGGGTCTCTGAGCAGGGGCTCTGCTCCCCCCCCCACCCGGGGGGAAGAGCCTTGGCCCCTGTGAAGTGTTTAAGGCTGTGGTCGGTATGGCGACGATCAGGACCCCCGACCAGCGCGCCCCCAGCCCGGCCGCCCCTCTATCCACCCTTTTATCTGAACCACAGCCGGGAAGCTCCCAGCAAGCTGGTGCCCTTGGCTCAACGCGCAGACACCGCTGCCCCTCCCCACCCGGCGGCCAGGCTCCACTCGGAAGAGAGTGGGCGGCACCTGGGGGCCACCTCACACACGAGTGATCCCCGTGGTGGCCCAGCGGCAGGGATGCACGTTTCCCCGCTCGGCAGTGCCCTGTGCCGGGCGCCGCTAAGTGGCCTGGAGGGACCATATCTGTCTCTGAATGGGCCACGCGGGTGGAAGCCAAGGGCAGAGCTGGGGCCTGGGGACCGCACCTCTGTGCCAGCGTCTCCCCACCTGGCTGCGCCCCCTGATGAGCCCCGACCCCTCATCAGAAATGCCGAGTTCAACTCCCTCTGCTTCTCCAGTCCAGACGCCCAGGAACGGGGAGACTAGATGCACTGCGGGCCAGTGCCGCCAGCCGGGGACCTGCTCCCACGGCCCAGGAGCCACGGAGACGGGCAACCCGCTGGCCCAGCAGCCCTCGGCAAGCAAAGCCCCGGGTCCTCTCCCCTGCACAAGCCTCGTGGGACGGGGGCGGGGCTGGGGAGCCAGCTCCATGGCTCTTAATCCTCCCCTCCCACCCTGCGCTATGGTGAGTTCTACAAATTTCCTGACGAGCCAGGCTGGGACTTCACAGCCCCAGCACGATTCTCCCAGAAGGGCCCTGTGGGGCTCAGCCCCGTTTACCAGGCAGCCTGACGCGCAGACACGACAGATGCAAGAGCTGCCCAGGCCCACGCCCGCCCCGCGGTGAGAGCCCTGGGCACGGGCACCCTGTCCGGCCCCACCACTGGCATCAGCTCCTGGAATGGCCCTCGTTTTTGAGACCAGCTCTTGGAGGGACACGCTCTGCCCCAGGGAGGCCATGCGGCCCAGAACTGCCTCCTTCTCTGAGGGTCTCTGCCCTTCGAGGGGCCTGGGGAGAAAAGACCCTCACAGACGCCAGGCTGCGAGTGACAGAGGACAGGCGGTGGGGGTGCGCACTCGGGGCGGGGCCCTGCTTCTCGCTGCAGGATGGGGGTTCTGGTGCGTATGGCCCCTTGGCTGCCAGGGACAGTGTCCGCGACCATCTCTGGTCCAGCCTCGGGGAGGCCACCTGAGCCACAAGCTCTTTCCTCCCGGCCTTCCATGGCGCCGGGTACGTGTCCCTGGTTTGCCCACATACCGTGGGACGCTGTCCTAGGCCAGGCCCGAGACCAGCGTGGGGGACACACAGTGGGGAAACCACCCCGTCTGTCCCTATGACCCACGTCCCGAGGCTGGCCACCAGTGCCCGCCAGGCCCCCCCTGCATGTGGGAATGTACCCATGAAGCCACGTCTGTCCAGACAGAAGAGCAGCCACGGTGCCCAGCTGGTCACAGCCCTGAGGCCAGGGTATGTGCCTCTGAACCCAGCACCCACACGTCACACTTGGTCCCGGCGGTGCCCAGAGGTGCTTTCAGCTCAGATACCCTCTGTATGATGGGCCACGTGGCCTCTGAGCCCAATCCACAAGGCAGGCCGGAGTCGGCGCCGTGTCCACCACAGTGGCAGCTGGTGGCCAAGGGGTCACGAGCAGGGAGCAAACGAGGGCTGGCAGAGCAGCCACAGAAGGAGCAGCCTTAGGGCCACAGCCCGGCCCTGCAGGACCCCCGGGCCACGTGCCACGAGTCCACAGGCGTCCACGCGGTCGAGCCCACGCTGCGAGTGAGGTGAGACCGGGCCCCAAAGCCTCAGCAGAAGAGGTGGGTGGGAGGGTGCAGGGCTCAGGGCCACGTGCGGCTTCAGCACTCAGAGGGGCCTGCGTGCCCGGGCCCACGGCGGGTGGGTGAGGGGCAGGGCAGGGCACGGGACGCAGGGGAGCGTGGAGGGCATGCGGGGCCCGGCGGGTGCCTACCAGGGCGGCGGGGATGCCGGGGTAGAGACGCAGCAGCCCCACGTCACGCTCCATGCTGCCGTGCACCACCAGCCGGTCCTTCCCTCGCACCTTCCGCACCAGCTCCCGGTTGACTGTGGAGACAGAGGCACATGCGTGGAATCGCAGAGCACCACCCCCCCAGCTCAGACGCCCCCGCACGCACTTGGCCCTGGCAATGCCCATGGGTGCTTTCAGCCCCTCTGTGCTGCCCGGCCTCCCGCTGGCGTTTCCAGGGCCCCGAGTTCTCTCGTAGCCGCCGGCCCAGCCCCGGCCCCCGTCTCGGGCACCTCCTGCCAGCCCCCAGCTCAGTCGTGGGAGGGCGCAGCCCCAGCCTGTGCCGGCTCTGCAGTGGCACGGAGTCCGGGGGGCAAAGGAGGACCCCCCAGGGACAGAGGCTGCCCGAGTCTGGCAGGGAAGGGTGCCCCCTCTGCAGCCACAGGCGGAGGAAAGGCGCTCCGGGCAGAGGGAACAGTGTGCGCAAAGGCCAGGAAGCACAGCACATGTGACGGAACTGAAGAAGCAGGAGGCATGTCAGCTGGACGCCGGGGGGAGTCAGGGTGCCACCCTCTGACCTGCCAGCTTCGCCTGCGCCTCGCCGGGCACCCACAGCCCACAGCCCACAGCCCGGCGAGCCCAGGAAGGAAGGAATGAGCGAACCGTGAATGAGTCTTCTGGGCCCCTCACCTCTGGGGAAAGAAAGCCTCCAGCTGAGGCCTAACCCTCAGGCCCTGTGGAAAGTGGGGGGCCAGATATTTGGGGTCCGCCCAGAAGGCCCGTCTCCCCACCGCTCTAAAGGTCACTGCTCTGCCACGACCAAGCCAGCAGAGGCCTCCCAAACCCGGGGGCACGGGGGGCGGGGGGGGGGGCTGGGCAGGGGCAGCGTTGGAGCCCCCAGGAGCTCAGCACAGGAGCCCGTTCTCTCAAGCCCTCGGCACAGGACGGCCTGTGGGGCGGGGGCCTGACGCTCCCTGGACTGACCACGGCCCATCTGAGGTAGCGAGTTATCACGAGATCCCTTAGTGAGCCCAGGGAAACCGAGGCCCAGAGGCCCAGTCGGGTGCAGAGCCAGCACAACAATGGTGAGAGGGCTCCCCCCCACCCCCCCCCGCCTGCGCAGGGGTGTAAGCCTGCCCGCCTCCTGCTGTTTCCGCCAGGCCGGTTTGTGTGTGATAATAAACCAGGGAACGTTCCGGACACACGCTGCCCTCTCCCGATGCGTCGAAGGGGGTGTGGGGGGAGGGGCGCAGCATCAATCAGCTGTGAGACGCGCCCTTTAATTTAGGGCCGAGCACCCCAGCTGGACCGGCAGATAAGCACGGGGGGGTGGGGGCTGCCACCACCCAGGAGTTATGGCTGCAGAGGGGCCTGACAGAGACAAAGAGAGCCCGCGCCCCCTCCCTGCGCGGCTGGACGGTGGCCACCAGAGCCCGCAGGGCCCCAAGGCCGTCTTCCCCAGAGGAGCCGAGGGAGGAAGGCGGGATGGCGTCACGCAGCGTGAGGCGACGGTGGCAGGGCCAGCTCCCCGCGCAGACGGCGGGGCCCCCGCACAGGAGGAGCCTGGGCTCCACGCGTCCCCGCAGCTGGTGGCAGGCCAGCACCACCTCTGCCCTTCTTGACCCCCCGGAACTGTCGATGACGGCCTCACCCAGGGAAGTGAAAACGCAGGGCAGAGTCCTGGCTCGGGCTGGGCTGGGGGCGTCAGCACCCAGCACCCCACGGGGTCGCTGGCCCCTGACAGCCTGGGCCTCATCGGCCCCCACGCCCCTCCCCCGTAGCCCTGCCTGCCGCATCCTGGGCAGAGCCCGGCGTTTCTCAACCCCGGCTGCCCGGACGGGCCGGGGGCCGGCGGGGGCAAAGGCCCTCACGCTCTGCACGGGCCCCCTGGCCAGCAGGAGACGATCCTGGCGGGGTCACGGGCCTGGGCCACCGGGGGTGGCATCTGCCCCAGGAGCCGGCCTCAGCCCTGCGCCCACCAAGCTGCGGGGCCCGGCCTGCCTCGGCGTGCCCCCTGCCCCGAGGCCTGCCCGGGCCTGGTGCGGCCCAGACAGAGCCCTGCCTTCCCGGGTGAGCTCCTCCCCTCCCGAGCCCCAGGTGGAGTGTGACTCAGGCCTCACGGGGGAGCCCGGCCTGCAGAGCGGCGGCCCACTCCCTGGTGCCCATCCCTTCCTTCCCCAGCTGGCCAGCACCGCCACCCACTGCAGCCGGGGAGCTGATCTGTCCTCCGGCACCAGCACGTGCACCACCTCCTCCAGGGAGCCCTCCTGACTGTTCACTGAGCAAGCGGCCCCCGCCTGGCTGCTGCCACACATCCCTTACACCCGCTCACACTCACGTGTTCCGTCTCGTGACCCCTGCAGGACACTGGGGGAAGTGGAGGGTGGGTGGGGGGAGGGTGCAGGGTAAGACCACCAGAATGGGAGTCAGAGCTTGGGCTGAGCCAACGCCTCCTGTGCACGCCTCTCCCACCTTGTGGTCCCTTGCTGCCCGGCAGAGAACCCAGGGGGCCGCCAGGCCGTGGGCACCACCGTGCTGGCATCCCCACGGCCCTGCACCCTGCTGGGACCCAAAGGCACCGGCAGCCTTCAGTTACGTGACCGGCCTGCCCGTCCCAGGAAAGGGCCGGCTCCTACCGGCTGCTCTCTGCGGACAGGCCAGCAGCCGCCAGACCCCTCCCTGCTCGGGGTCTCATCATCAGTCTTCCCGGAAAGACCCCCACCCTTGAAGCCCCCGCCTGTCCTAGGCCCGGTGCTCCCAAGGCCCTCCCCGTGCCGGAACATTCCAGGAAGGCCCTGTCCCTAGGAAGTCAAGGCCCTGGCCACCAGAGTCCCCTTCTTCCCCTGGCCTCAATCTGCTGGCCCTCTGCGGGCGAGGAGGCCGCCCTGCCCTCCGGAGGGCCCTGCGGTCAGGCAGTCCAGCCCAAAGGGCCGCCAGGTCCTGCTGGCGCTGGGCCCCTGCCTCTCAGGCTTCTAAGCCCCGAAGTCCCCCACAGCAACCCCCCCGCCACCACAGGGTCTCTGGGACAGGACCCCCACCCAGCTGGCGGGGCGGGGACAGGTGCCCAGGCCACCCCAGCTGTCAGGAGGAGACACGGGGCTGTGCCCACCGTGCTGTGCCCACCGTGGGCCCAGAGTGGAGGCTCCTGCGGACCCAGCAGGAGGGCAGCCCTGGGGGTGACTCCCTCGGGGTGAGTGAGGCCAGCCACCCTCACCGAGAACAAGGCAGAGACAGCTCTACACCAGGGAGGGGGAAGGGGGCCAGGAGCTCCGGGCTGCCTGCCGGGCCCAGGGGCCAGAGGACCCCCCTGCTGGTCCCAGGGATGAGGTCAGAGCACAGGAACCTCGTCCGGGGGACCTGGGTGCGCATGAGGGGCACAGCCTCCTGGGCTCAGGCCACAGGTCCCCCAAGCCTGCTCCTCCTCTGGTTCAACCCCCGGCTCTGGGCTGGCGCTCCCCCCCCTTGGTGTCCCGCGCAGGCTCCCCTCTCCGAGCAGCCCCCCACTTTACAGCCCAGGGCAGTACAGGGTGCTGTGTGTGCTCCCTACTCAGGGGGACGCTCCTGGGCCCCAGACAGTTTCCCGCCCGGCTCCGGGCGTGACACCTGGGACAGGAGCCCTCATCGGCCGGCCCTGCCCGGCGCCCAGCTTACGTGTGACGTCAGCACCCACAACGGCCAGAGGGGGCAGGTTGGGGGAGCAGAAGGCTGCGAACCTGCGCGAGTCCACCTTGGTCACTCGGTTGCCCCGAAACAGCTGATTCTGGAAGAACAGGCAGACCTGTGGGGGAGGGGAGAGGCAGCGGTTCAGCGCTGGGGAGCCCTGGGGCCCTCCGGCTCCCCCCTGCAATCCGCAGAGCACCCACTGAGGACAGCTTGCTGAGGTCACTCGAGGCTGCTCCAACAGAGTTCCTGCCCTCCTGCACCCACCCCGCAGGGCTGAGGAGAGCTGGGCAGGGGCCTGGCCGCCCCCATTGCCCCTCCGTTCCCACCTGCCCTCTGCCCCCATCCCTGTTTCTCAGGGAGCCCTGGTGAACTCAGCCGACCCCCACCACAGGGTTGGCGCTCCAGAGCTCAGGGGGAGGGGGTTCTAGTTCTGCGCCCCCTCAGCTGCTCTAGGGCCATCCCCTGGGGGAGGGCAGCTGGCACGGCGGCAGGGAGACAATGTGAACCGTGCTTCAGGGCGGCCACCTCTCCCTGGTGGGCACCCACCTCCCGGCACGGGGTCCCCTGCAGTGTCAGGTCTCCCCGTGCCACCGTGGGGAGAAAGAGGTGTTGAGCAGGGAAGGCCAGCTCCACAGCTGTGCTGGGTACAACCTCCTTCTACAGAAACCCACGCGCGCATACACGTACGTGAACACACATAACGTGCATAACGCGGAAGAAAACACGGCTCACTGCGAACAGCAGCAGCTCTGGGAGTAAGAGGTGGGCGGCTTCGCTTCCTTCTGTGTTATTTTCTGGGTTTTTCGAGGTGATGGCATACGTATGTACCAGGCACGTCTTCAAACCCTGCCTGAGGGCTCGCTTGCATTGTCACCTGAGCGCCCGCCACAGCCCCGCCTGCGCTCCGCTGGCCACGCCCCTGCAGCCCACGCCAGGGAGGGAAGCGTACCTCGGGGATCACGTACTGGCCGGCCATGAGCAGGGCCCCCAGCAGATTCTCGCGGCCATCGTTCCAGAGGGCGTGGATGGGCACCTGGGGGGGGGGGCCAGGGACGGGCTGAGGCTCACGCAAGGGAGGGGCAGCGACCGCGGCTGACAGCAGCCCACGGACCCCCCACCGCAGGACCCAGGGCACTGACCAGCCTGGCCGCCCAGAATGGGCAAGACAGGCACTGCCTCGGGGAGCTGCAGGGCTGAGCAAGAGGCCTGGGGTGCGGCCTGGGTCCCCCACAGCGCCAACTCCCCCTGTCCCCTCAGGAAGGCCCCCATGCCCACCCAACCTGGGACATTACCTGGGCGCCAGTAAGGATGACGGTTTTCTGCAGGTTCTCCAGCACGAAGGAGAGCACGGAGGCCGCAAAGGCCATGGTGTCGGTGCCGTGGATGACCACGAAGCCGTGGTACTGCCCATAGTGTCTCTGCGGGGGCGCAGCAAGCTCAGGCTGGACTCCTCCCGGGGACAGGCCCCCTCCCAGGATGGGCTTCCTCCGGGGGATGGGCCCCGTTCCGGGGACAGGCAGCTGGCTGCCCCCCCCCCCCGCACCAGAAAGAAAAGAAAGGGTCCCAAATGCAGAGGGAGGGAGTCAGAGAGGCACTGGTGGGATCCTGACCCAGAAGACACTGTCTGGGAAGCAAGCCTCTGCCTGGAGTCTCACTCCTCCATGCTCTCCCCCCCACACCCAGGACATCTTCCCTTCCTGACACCTCTAATCGCATGAGAGACCTGGCCTGGTGGGGAGGGGTCTCTGGACATGCTCCTAGGATACAAAGGTCCCCTCTGGACTTCCTGCCAGCGTCTCCCCCAGGTGATGCCCAGTCAGGGCTCCCAAGGACACTGGCGAGTCGGAGGACACACGAGAAGTGAGCATGGCACTCCAGGCGAGGGACGACCACGGCCTCCAGGGCAGGGGCCGTGCGGGAGCCTCAGCCTGCGAGCCCACGGTCCCGTAGGAGGGCCCAGACAGGGACACAGCGCTGGGCACAAGGCACAGCTGGTGCTGGGAGCTGGCAGGTGATCCGGGACACTGCCTGGACCAGGACTGGCCGGCAAACGTGGGGAAGGGCCCTTCCAGACAGAGGCACGCTGGGCACCTCTGTGAGGACACCCTCAGGACAGCCAGGGCTGGCCCGTGGAGGGTGGCTGGCCCGGGCTATGATTGCAAGGGCACAGATCCGGGAACCAAAGGATCCAGTCCCTCCTGAGGGGACCCTGAAAGACCAAGCCAGGCTGGCTTGGAACTGTGGCGGCTGAACTGTGTGGCGGGCTGGGGCACCCTCTGCTGGCCACACGGGGCACTGCCACAGGGGGGCCACCAGTGCCCTGAAGGCCCTGGAGTCTGCATGTGGCTGGCCACTGCGGCCAGGACAGCAAAGTGGTCACAGGCCCCAACCAGAGGACGCTGCTGGCCACAAGCCAGGGTAGCTTCCCCGACTATGGCCACAAACATGCCCATTGGCAGCCAGTGCCCCATTCAGGGACAAGGACCAGGCCCAGGACCACACACTGTCCTGCTCACAGTGAGAGGGGATGCAGCCCAGGAAGCTGAACTCCCCCCAAGGCTAATGAACACAAGCGTGTGACGGTGGCCAGCCCTCAGCAGCAAGGAAGGGGAGCCTGTGTGATGAGCCTCTGAGGCTTAAGGGAGGCAGGTGGGCCTGGAGGAGGTGGGGTGGGGGTGACAGGGCCCCCCAGGGAGGCAGTTGGGTCACAGGGCCAGGCCTGAGCAGGAGTGGGGGCTGGTGACAATGAGATTGGGCAGAATGGAGAGGAAAGCTGATGGAGGGGCGCTCTGGCAGCAGGTCCAAGGGGTCAACAGTTGATGCCATGAACCACAAGGCCTGTACAGGGTTCTGTGCCTTTTATGGGCCTCAAATCAACTAAATCCCCAACTCCAGGGCGGGCATGGGTAGGGTGAACAGAGAAGGGTGGGCCAGGCATGCAGCCTGTCAACCTTCTAGGGAAGCAGCGTGCATCCCAGCCCAGGATACTAATTAAGACAAGCCAGTTACAGGCACAAACCAGGGCATGTATCCAGATCATTTCCTCACCAGGAAAATGGACATGGCCCTCACTGCCCATCCTCTGCCTGCTCCAGGGAAAGGGCCTCAGGAGCCTTGCAGCTGTGACTCAACGATCCAGCACTTTCCTGAAGCTGCCATCCCAGATGCTCTCAGGCCCCAGACCAGGCAGGCAGACCCCATCAGCACAGACCTCAGGGGAATGCTCCCGCAGCATTGGCCCCGCCCAGCCCACGGGCCCCGCCCATAACCCCAGCCCTGCCCACTTTCAGTCCCGACCATACACAGCCACGCCTACACACTCCCAGCCCCGCCCACACTCTCAGTCCCGCCTACACCCAGCTCCGCCCACACTCTCAGCCTTACCCTCACAGCCCCTCCCAGTACACAGCCCCACCCGCACTCTCAGCCCCGCCCACATTCCCAGCCCCGCCCATACATAATATCCGCCCACACTTCCAGTCCCACCTGCACTCTCAGCCCCGCCCAGTACACACAGCTCCGCCCACACCCCAGCCCCACCCAGTACACACAGCCCCACCCATACCACCAGTCCTGCCCCGTACAAACAGCCCCGCCCATACTGCCAGCCCCACCCACACCCCAGCCCCACCCAGTACACACAGCACCGCCCACATCACCAGTCCCACCCACACTCCCCAACTACCTCGATGGTCTGGGCAATCTGAACCCACTCGGTGATGGTCATGTCACTGGAGTCGAAGAGGGGCTGGCACTCCAGCACCGTGTAGATGACCCTCTGGTCAGGGCTGGCGGGCCTGTGGGAGGCAGAACAAGGGCTCCCACTCTGCCCCCTCCTCCCTTGGCCGGCTGGGCTCTCCTCCCCCCAGCCAGCCCTCCTCCCCCGCCCCTGCACCCAGGGGCTTCTTGCCGGGGGGGGGGGGGGGGGGGGGGGGGGGGGGGGGGGGGGGGGCTCTGCATATCCACAATCTCTCAGCATCCTGAGTACAGGACCCAGCCTCCCTTCCACCCAGAGTCCCCAGGAACAGGGGCCCTGGTCCTCAAGAGGGGTCAAGGCTGAGCCAGGACAGGCTGCTTCCCAGTAGTGTCACCTTCCCAGGACGGCTCTGAGAGGGGGCCCAGGGCCTGGTCCTCCGCGGGCCAGCAGACGACCCTGGGAGGAGAGTCTCTGGAGGGAGGTCAGTGACCAGGAGGCCATGAAGGGCACCCAGCAGCCTTGGCTGAGAGCTAAGAAACAGAGAGAGCTTTACACTGGGGGGAGATGGGGGCTGCCTGGGCCAGCCCCTGCCTCTCTCGATGGGCTTGGGTCCCCAAGTGCCGAGGGCCAGGGCCTGCGGCCCCCCAAGGTGGTGGGAGTCCGAGGCTCAGTTGAAAGGGGCTGTTGGTCACTTCTAAAGCCATGAAAGTGCAAGACGACACTAGCGGCCACAGCCTGCCCCTGGGACCTGCAGGAGCCGTCCGTCTCAGGAGAGCCCTACCCGGGCTGGGCCCCCAGGAGCCCACACTCACGGCAGCACCAGGGTGTCCTCGGGGAGGCCAAGGGCCCGGGCGTGGTCCTCATCATGGAACATGGGCAGCGTCCTCAAGACAGCGGCCAGGCCCCTCCCAGGGACGAGCACTGCAGGCAGAATCCAGGGCAGGGGGAGCGTGGGGTCAGGGGCCAGCAGACACCACCAGCTCCTGTAACCGCTGGCCCCTCCCTCCCCATCAGGGCATCTACCCAACACGCCGTGGGCCAGGCCAGGGCAGGGGTCAGGGATTTGGGGTGGGGGAGGGGGACAGAATCCAGGGCCCTGGTGAGACGGGGCAGCCGTGCCATGACTGGCTGAGAAGGCTTCCTCCTGTGGAGCCCCAGGGGCTCTGGCCACTCCACCCAGGGCCTGCCCCAGCCCACCCATCTCCAGGTGACCCCATGCTCCTAGCTGAGGTTCAGGGGCCCAGGCTGGCACCCCCCTTTCATCACAACGCAGCGCAAGGCACCCACACTTCCCCCACCACCTCCCAGAACATCCCACACTAACTCCTGCCGGCAGACAAGTCCTTTGCCCCTCCTCCTTCAAACCGGTCGGTATATGCTTTGCCCCAGCTCGTGTCACCACCTCCAGGAAGTCCTCCTTGATGTCCAGGCCCTGGTGCCCCTCCCGTGCACTCCCCGGTGGCCCCTCCTCCCTCACTAGGCTGTGTGACCCCTCTACAGCCCAGCCCAGGCCCTCTGCCTGCAGCCTCCATGTCCCGGAAACCAGCATCTAAGGCTCGGGGCAGAAACGGTGTGTTTTAGAAAACCCTCAAAGGTCACAGGCGTGTTTGCCAGGAACAACCCCTCGGCAAAGGCTCCCAGGCCTCAGGGTCCTGGTCTCCTGTCCCTCCCTGCTCCCTACCAGCACCATGACCTTGGACAGGTCAGCTAAGTTCTTTGGGCGTCTCCCACACGCCTGGCCATGCTGGGCACCTGGGCAGTGACAAGGACATCGGGGTCCCCGTCCTCGGGGCTGAAACGAGGAAGGAAGACCCTCAAGACCGGTGAGTGGTCACTCCTGGCCGACAGCCTTGTTCCCGCCTCGCAGCCCACCAGGCACATCCGGCCCCCGCTGCCACCTAGCGGCTTAAAACAGCACCCCTTCCTCACCCTGCTGCCCCGGCCTCGAGAAGCCTGGGGGGCTCTGGTGCCGGCAGGGCTGTGCCCTCACCGGTGGCGCCGGGGTGGGGGACGGTCTGCCCGGGCTCGCTCGGACTGGGGGTGGAATTCAGCTCCACGCTACAACTGTTTCTTTGCTGCCTCTCGAAGGGCGGCGGTTCTCAGCTTCTAGAGGCTTCCCGGGCTCGGGCCCCGGGTTCCACACTCACAGCCAGCAGCAGCTTTCATTCTCATGCTCTGATCTCTGACTTTGCCCCCGCGTCGTCTCCTCCCTTTCAGGACCCCGAAAGCTCGCTCACCTCACCCACGGGACCCCTGCCGCTCGGCCCTTCCTCAGGCCACCATGGGAGTCGGTCTCCACAGCGGCCAGCGGCCAGGCTCCCGCCGCTGAATGTGAACCTGTCGTCTCCTGAGGGCCAGCAGCTCAGCATCAGGCCCCGAATTTCCAGCCCAGCACCCGGGCCTCTCCCGTCCCTCGAGCCCGCCGACGCCCTCCTGCCCGCCCTGCGGCTCCCAGCAGGGGCGGCCTCCCCGCCCATGGCCCTTTGAGGGCCACGCAGACGGATCGGCTTCCCATGGCCACTTAGCACACTTCCCCAAACAGGCGGAAAGTGGCACAGCGCTGCTCTGCCGCCACACAGCGTCTGTGGGTCAGAAGCCTGGCCCACCCCGCGGTCAGCAGGACCACACCCCTACCCACTCGGCTTTGCTCAGCTCCCTCCGTGTGTCCGCCTGCTGAATGCCAGGCCCCTGGCCCCGTGGATGCTCCTGGGTGTTCGTGGCTCCGTCGCCCCCGCCCGAGAGGGAGCCCCGGGGGAGCCCCTGCCCCGCACGCGCCCAGCGGGGCCTCCACACACGTTTACTGCAGGAGTAAACAAGGCGGGTTTGCAGCTGCTTAAGGAAACACCAGGTCGATGGGGCTCAGGAGACAGGACATCAGCGCGCCATCGGCAGCCCGGCCACACTCCCAGGATGCCCGGGGCATGGCCGGGGCCCGTGCCTGCCTCCACACAGGCCCGGCTCCCCAGCCCTGCCAGCATCGAGGACAGACCTCCAGATTCCAGGCACGGAGGATGGCTCACAGCCCCCAGCCCCCGGCCCCGGCGGCCAAGCTCCCCCAGCCCCTCCGCAGGCTGACAAGTGGGCCCCAAAGATGCCTCCCGCTCCCCAGGAGGAGCAGAGCCTCTGCAGCTGTGATGGGGTCAGGCTCTGGAGCTGGGGGGCATGACACTGGGTTATGCAGGTGGGGCCTAAGGGTGGCAGATTGGACACACGACGGAGGCAGCCACGGGACAGGCAGAGAGGCGTGGAGGTGTGGAGGTGCGGTCGTGAGCCCCAGTGACTGGGCCACAGCCAAGGAGGGGCTGGGACAGACCCCCGCTGCCCGACGTCAGATGCCGGCCTACGGTACGGGGGGCCATGTGTCGGAGCAGCCCCAGGACACTGCACGGCCACTTGCTACCCCAGCTCCTTGTGGTGGGGGGGGTGCAAACCTGGGGATCCACATGGTCTGGGTTTCGTGGGACGAGCTGATGATGTGGGTGGCCACCTGCACCCACGGCCAGGCTGCCGACTTCCTGCTGCGGTGGGGGGGAAGCGGCAGGGCCGGAGGACCCCGAAGGGTGGGCTCCCGCCACCCCCGCCAGGGACACACGTGTGTGGCGTGGGCAACACGGCCCGAGAGACCCTCCTGCTCTGTTCTCTGCGCAAAACCCACCACAGCACTGCCACGTGGAAGGAGCGTAGGAAAACGTGCAGCCAGAAAATGGCGGGGGGGGGGGAGAGCTACGAGGAAACTTCAGGAAGTTAAGGAACAAACTTGGGTTTGTGGTCTCCTGGTTTTTTTCAAACGAGTCATTCGTTATGATTCCCTTAATCATTCCAAGTCAAAATCTGCTCTCACACTGAGCTCTGACTTCATAAATTGTATTAGTTTTCTCAACAAGCCCCTCCCCCCCCCCATAAAACCAGAACCTGCCCCTCCCAGCCTCGTCCCTGGGCCACAGCAGCAGGCAGCCAGCCCCGGGCGGTGAATGCTTCGCAGCTACTGCCAAACTCCTCGTGTCTAAGGGACTGCGGGTCCCCCGGGGCCTCCTATAGCTCCGGCTATAAAAACGTGAGCATGCACGCTGGTCAGAGTGGCTAAAATGAGCAAATCAGAAGACTCTAGATGCCGGCGAGGATGTGGAGAAACGGGCACCCTCCTACACCGTTGGTGGGCATGTAAACTGGCGCAGCCCCTCTGGAAAACAGTGTGGAGGTTCCTCAGGAAGCTAACAATAAAACTCCCCTATGACCCAGCAATAGCACTGCTAGGAACTTACCCAAGGGATACAGGGGTGCTGATGCACAGGGGCACATGGACCCCAATGTTCACAGCAGCACTCTCAACAATAGCCAAGACATGGAAAGAGCCTAAGTGTCCATCAACGGACGAATGGATCAAGAAGATGTGGGTTATCTATACGATGGAATACTCCATGGCAATGAGAAAGAATGAAATCTGGCCTGTGTAGCAACATGGATGGACGTTGAGGGTGTTATGCTGAGCAAAATAAGTCAGGCAGAGAAGGACAGATACCGTATGTTTGCACGTATAGGAGGATTAAGAGGAAACTAACGGAGGACCATGGGGGAGAAGAAGGGGAAAAATAGTGGGGGAGAGGGAGGGAGGCAAACCATGAGAGACTCTTGAATGCTGAGAACCAACTGAGGGCTGATGGGGGTGGGGGAGAGGGTAGAGGGGGATGCGCATGGGGGAGGGCACTTGTGGGGATGAGCACTGGGTGTTGTATGGGAGCCAATTTGACAATAAATTATATTAAAAACAAAAAACAAGCAAATGTGAGCACGTGAAACTGGGTTCAGGGAAGAGGTCCAGGCCACAGGCTCAGATGCCACGTTCGGTGACCGAGGGGCTGCGACACGGCCCTTATCGGCGCCGCTGAGCTGCAGGATCCCCTGTGACCCCCACCCCCACCCTGGGCTGCCCCCAAAATTCTGCTCATCTGCTGTTCCTGTGAGGGACAGGGGGCAGCAAGCGGGGGTCACACGGGGCCCGGGGTTCCTCAGCGGGGTGGGAGGAGCCACTCACCCCTGGGCTGGGGCCCTCATCTGACGCTGCTTTCATAATGCCCCTTGACCTGTGACATCCTTGCTGGGCTCAGAGAAGGGATGGGTCCAGGGGCGTCCCTGGCTGCCTCAGCCTCTGGCCTCCGCACTGTCCTGGCCTGTGGCCGTGCGCCCTGCTGGCTGCTGTTCACGCCCTCCGCGGTGACAATCCAAACAGTTTTGCTGTGGCCGGCCTGCTTCCCTCGCCGCCCGCTGCCACCCTCTCGAGACTGGAACCCCGTCAGCGGTGCCAGGCGAGTTAATCATTGATACGGTCCCGAGGTCAACGACCCCCACAGGGTTTGGAGAGGAGGGCCTGCGAGGCCTGGCACGTCCACACAACCCTGTCGTGCTCACGCCCCGGGTGCCGCCCTCGTCCCCGGATACCTCTTCAGAGAGCAGGCCTGAGGGCCGTCCCTGGTCTCAGGGGGACAGGGGTATGTGACGCTAGAGGGACAGCAAGGACCAGCCCCCGCATCTCTTCCTCCTCTGTCCTCTGAGGTCTCAGCCCTGGGCTCCCTGAAGCCTTCCTGAAGTTGGAGACCTGGGGACAAAGCAGGTGACGAAGGCACAGGAGGAGCCAGGAGGCACCACCCAGGCCCAGGGGACAAGGCGCCCCAGCCAGCACGCGCACCGCAGCTCGGAAGTCCCCCAGGGACAGGCTGGCGGCTCTGAGCTGCCTTCCGAGCCCAGGAAGGCCCCTGCTGACCTCGCCTTTGCCAGGCCAGAAGGCCGTGGTGCCAGAGCAGGTTCTAGGGTATTCTGGAAGGTTCCGCCCCATCTGTAGCCCACCCCCACACCCTCTTTCCTGAGTCAAGGTCTCTAGTTCACTTCTGAACATGAGACTTCACAGCCTCTCCAGGAACAGCGCTGTGGGAGTGAGCCACAAGGCTGCCTCGGAGGACGGGCTGGGGAGGCCAAGCGCCATGCCGAGGGGAGGTCAGGTCCACCCGGCCGTGCAGCCTGGACCCTTGCGAACCATGTGTCGACCTCAACAGAACTGCAGCTGGCCACGTGCAAGCCTGGAGGGCAGCGTTCGGGACAGGCCAGGGTCCCTGGCGGCCTGCCCGGGGCGGCACCCCTCTCTCAGCCCAGCCCCCACCTCCTGGCCCCTCCCGCTCTCTCCCACCGCGTCCAGCCCCCGGGCCCTCAAGGGGGGCCACAGCCACACACAGGGCCCTGGCCTCACGGGCGCCCACAGCCCTGCAACTTCTCCCCAGACCGCCTCTGTGACTCGAAGCACGTGCCGCTGCTGGCTTAATGTCAGCCCGTCTCGGCTTGTGACGGCCGAGGGGCCACAGCAGCAACCCCCCGCCCCTTGAGTGCCGCCCGGGGCCTCCAGGCTTCAGAAGTCCACCTGCGAACTAATGAGGCCGGAAGGCACAGCGGCAGAGGGCTGGCTCCCGGCAGCCCAGGCAGGGGCGCTGGCGGGCTGGGACCCCCGCAGGACAGGGCTCTGCGAGGAGCGGGCCCCCAGGAACGTCTGAACCCACCGTCCATGTCACAGAGGGAGTTAACAGGGCCGGAGGCTGGAAGAGCAGCTGTTGGAACCCCCAAGAAAACACCAGTGGGAAGGGGGGGCCAGGTGAGGTGGGGAGAGACGGAGGGAGGCTGAAGGACCCGCCAGGACAAAGGACATGTTCTCCGTTAGTCCTGGGGGGCAGGGGGGAGGCCGAGGTTCTGAGCCAGGGCGGGGCGGGGGCGTCAGCTCTAGGAGGGCCCCGCAGGGCCCACTGAGCGGCTGACCCAGGCGTGAGCACAGGGGGCTGGAGCAGCAGCGAGGAGCCGCCCGCAGGGCAGGGGGCCTGGGAGGAAGGGCCAAGTGCCAGCCCGCGGGAAGAGGGACCCTTAGGGACAGTTAACTGGCAGACAGCAGAGAGCGGTGGGAGAGGTTCACAGATGAGGCTGAGGGTTCGTGCCGGCCACCCTGGGCGAGGCTGGGCATCCCACACATCACCGGACCAGCAGGAGCCCTTTGGGGAGGGTACAGACAGCGTCCTACTCTCCTGGGAATGCCAGAAGGTTCCGGATGCTGGTGCACAGCCATCCTCTTCCCACTGCTTGGGGCTCTGGTTCCCCAAGCCAGTCCCTCCCTGCAGGTGCTCAGCCCGTGCTGATGGCGCTCCTGTCCGGGTGGCCGTGAGCTCCAGGGCGCTGGCCCAGGCCCTCGCCGCCCCTACCCCCTCTGGGGTGGCAGCCGCGGGGGCAAAGACAAAATGTACAACTGCCCAAAGCCACCTCCTGCCCCTGACGAGTCCGGAAAGTGTGATGCCGCCAGGAGCCCTCACGCTGGGAACACTCGGCGGAAGGGGTGGGGTCAGGTGGCCGCCCCTAACAGTCCCTGGGGAGGGCCGGGACTGCCCAGGCTGAGACCCCGTCTTGTTTGTCCAGGAAGAGGGGGGTCACAAACCGTGGGGCCCTGGAGACCCCCAGGCCCCTGCGCGGAGGGGTGGAAGAGGGGCTCCGTGCACCCGGGAGGGCTGCGACCTGGGAAAGGCCATGGACACAAAACGACCCCATTCCCCTCCAAGCCCCCGACTCACCGCCGCCCTCGTTCCGCATGCCGATAGTACCGCCGGTGTAGATGGCCAGGAGCCGCCGCTCGGGCTCCAGAGCGCGCGACATGCCGATCTGGGACCAAAGGGCCAAGGCGACCCTACTGAGGGGACCGAGGGGCGGCGCGGGCGCGCCCAGGGTAGCCTGGCGGGGAGGAGGGGCGGGCCGTTCAGAGGCGTGCGCCCACCTGCCTGGGGGCGCTGCCGGGAGCTGGGTGTGCCCTGGAGGTGGCGGGTCAAATCCGGGGGCGGGGCCGTCCGGGGGCGGGGGGCGGGGCCTGAGCGGCCCGGGACTGTCGGATATCCGAGCAGTATCTGCCTGGGTGTTGGAGTGGCTGTGACCTGACACACAAGCCACGTGCCCTACAGTTGGCCTAGGGGACTCCCCGCGGCGTGGGGGGGCGCCCTCCCCTCCCAGGCAGCTCCCACAAACCCCGGTGTCCAGCAAAACCATAGCCCTGCAGGCCACACCCTCGGTGTCCACTCCTGGGGGGGGTGGGCAGGCAGAGACGCAGCCCCCTCACTCACGTCTGGGAGCAGGGCTGGAGGGGACCCGTCCAGGGCTAGGGCCCACACCCTCCGGCCTCGGCAGCTCTGGAGGCCAGGGCGGGCGGGCAGGCGACCACAGGATCACGGCGGATACCCTGACTGCCTGACTGCCGGGGCTCCCGTCCCCACCCCTCCCCCGCCAGGCAGCTCCTCCCCACCCCAGCGACTCCTCCCCAGCGCCCCCTCCCATGGGGGAAAACTGCATTGTCTCCGCAAGGAGCCCTTGCATTCTGATTTCCACTCCAGAGGAGCTACTTTGATAACTTCCAACAATGCAAAAGTAATTCGTGTCTAAGCCCCAGCAAGTGAATTCTGTCGTCTGCTTGGGCTGGAGGCTTCAACAGCACAAACCCACTCCTCACCGTCAGGGAGGCTGAAGTCCAGGGTCAAGGCGTGGGTCAGGGTTTCCTGAGGCCTCTGCTGCGGGTGGGGGCGCCCCCCGCCTGCCGCGTGTGTTGACATCTCTTCTTAGGAAGACACTGTCATGCTGAATCAGGACCCGCCTAACGGCCTCAACTCCATATTCTCTGTAAAGGCCTGTCTCCAAATACAGTCAGGTTCTGAGGGGCTGAGGGTCAGGCTTTGCCATGTGAATCTGGGAGGAACACAGTCCAGGCTCCCCCCGTCCCCCCCCCCCCCAGCCAAAACCGCTGGTTTTGCCTCCATTTGCACATTCCTGCGGGAGTTCTGTGTCTGCTCTCAGGCTCCTCTTCGAGCGGGTCTGGACACCCACCCGGCCCCCCGTGTTGGGGTAAGTGCGCTGCTCTGTCTGCAGGGGCCACCGTTCACTCATCCTTTGGGGAAGCCACCGCCTGACCACCCACTGCCAGCACCCAGGAAACAGAGTTTGGAGCCTGGGCAGACCTCCCCTTCCGGGGTGTGGGGCTGGTCCTGTGCAGGGATCACGGGGTGCCGGGCCCCAGGCCACCCAGCCGCTCTGCCACACTCCTTTCCTGTTCTGCTCAATTGCATTTCTGCTATAGCTCCCAATGTCCCCACGGCTGTCTCGTTAACCATCTCTGCCTATGGGCGTAAGGGCCTGGTATGCCTCCTCAGGCCCTGGGGACCTGGCCCCACTTTGGATATAAACCCAGATGTGACCATCAGCACCTGCTCCCCCCGCCCCCAGGCTGGGCTGGTCGGTCTTAAACTCTGCTGAGTGGAGAGAGGCAGACCAGTGGGGTCAGGAGCCAGCAGCTGGGGTGAGAGGCGGCCATAGTGGGCACATGTTTGGAGCCTGGATGTGAGGTAAAGACCAGAGTAAGGGACACCTCAAGGTTTGCCCAGAACTTCATGCTGCTTGGGGACCGAGTTTCTGAGCACTTAGGGAAGCCGGGGGGGGGGGGGGGGGGGGGCGGGAATCGGCTTGGAGCCAGGAGGGACAGGGTGTGCTGGGCGCCTTATGTGGGATGTAGCAGCGGGACAGCCCAGGAGAAGTGAGAGCTGTACCTCTGGAGTCATCAACACAGGGATGATCTTTAAGGCCATGGTGAGGCTGCCTAGGAGCCAAGCAGGGGCCCTGGGGCCTGATCTGAGCCTGGTTTTCTGGCTGTGGAGGCCTGGGGTAGGGGAGAAGCCAGAGAGCTGGGAGAGAAGGTGAGGGGTCCGGATGCCAAGGCCCGGGGCTTCAGTGCGAGGCGGAGGGGGGAGGCTCAAGGGCTGACTGTGCCCTGAGCAAGACGGAGGCTCTGGGCAACCTGGCCCCCATCGTGGGGCAGAGGGGACAAATGCCCCACCAGAGGTGAACTGCTTCTCCCACAGGCTCTTGGCTCCCTGGCTCTGTGTTTAGGGGACGGTGTCTGTGGCCCTCTCCCTGGGCGGGGGGAAGCTGTTCCAGGACCCCCACCCCCACCCATCTCCTCCTCCTGGATCTATTTCTCAAATGGTTCAAAGGAACCCTGTTTCTCAGGCGCCAGGGGTCTCCCATCCACACCCTCGCTGGTGCCACGCTGCCCATGCAGGGAGGGGGTGCTCGGGTCAGAGCCCCTCCCAGAGCGGGACCCAAGGCTCCCCGGTGCTCCCACCCCCATCCGCTCCACCCACTCACACTCACCTTCTAGAGCTCGGTTTTCAAAGCGCAGCCCCGGTCTAGCCACCACACATGTGGCGACACAAGCCTGTGGGACACGCAACCCCCCGGGCCCTTCCCCAGACCTCCTCCTGACCCAAAACACGGGGGCCCCGGGGTCCATGCTCTACGCACCCTCCAGGGAATTTGGATGCAAATCCCAACTGCAGAACCCAAGGTCCAGCCCAGGGGCCACCTGTGACTCCACCCGTTTCTGGAAATACAGTTTTGGGAACAGAAACACCCACTCGTGCTCATCCTGTGTGTGGGAGAGGCCGCGAGAGGGCTGTGGGCAGGACCCCAGTGGCCACGCTTGGGTAACAAGCCAAGCGGGGGTTCCGGGGAACCCCACACACTCAGGCTATGTCACTGAGCCATGCTCAGGCGCAGGCTCTTGCTCCCCGGGCATCACCTGCACCTCGTTGCCAGGGCACCCGCGGTCACAGCGGCTCCAGAGAAGCGAAGGCTCTGCGAACAGCGGCCACGCGCCCAGAAGGCACACCGGGCACTCGTCCACGGCACACCAGCTGCCACCACATAGGCCTACAGACGGGAGCTGGCCATGGGCAGGAACCCCGCCCCCCGCGCCCTCCAGGAGACACGGGCCCACAGTCCCCGAAGCTCTGACAGCCAAGTGCCGTGGATGCCGGAGGCCCGGCCCCTCTGCCCCTCCACACAGATGGACCTGCACAGACCTGCGTGGGGCTGAGCAGGGGCCGGGCCGTCACAAGCACCTTGCAAACCCTGCTTTAGTACTGGTTCCCTGCACGGAGGCACACCTGGACCTTCCCGTGGGCCCAGTGAGGGTGCACGGCCGTGGGCAGCACATGGGGCCCGTGGATGCTGTGTGGACGCTGTGTAGATGATGTGTGGACACTGTGGACGCAGCTGGCCCAGGCCAGGCCCAGGGGCCCCTCTGAGTGGCTGGGCTGGAAAGCGAGACCAGCGGTCTGACAGGAAGCCTGGGGCAGAGCAGGGAACGGAAGTTCCCAGGGACCCACGGGCCAGTCCTGCGGACAAAGGTCCGATCTGAGCCCCTAACTCAGATCGGATGCCGGGAGCGGATGCCGGGAGGAGGGGCCCCCAGACCCAGCAACTGGGGAAGGGGCCTCCGCCCGTGCCCACCGTGCGGTGACCTCGGGCCACTGCCTCAGCCATGTAGGGCAGCGGTGAGGAGGGGAGAGGGAGTCTGGTGCAAGTTCCGCCTCAGGATACCAGCTGCACCTCTGCTGAGCTTACACAGAGGGTGGCATCGAGCCGCCCACCTGCAGGCCTCTGGACAGTGGGGGTACAGGCCGGGGGGGCGGGGCCGGGGGCCCTGCAGGATCCCAAGGCGGCCTCAGCACCTGTACGCCTTCCATTTCTTTGTCCTTGGTGAAGACGGCCCCTCAACTAACCCAGCGTGTCGGGGTCACTTTACATTTCAGGCATGCGTGTCCTGCACCCCAGCCATGTTCCGCTGCACAAAATGCCCAGGCCGAGCCCATGGAGCACGTCAGCACCAGATGACACACACACCTGTGCACCCAGAAGGCAACGCGCATGCGACAAGGGCTTGGAGAATGCTGAGCCGACCTCCCTCCACCCCACCCTGAGAGTCAAGCCCCTGTGGTGGCTGTGTGCTGCCTGTGGTCTGCACGCTCAGTGGGAGGCGGGTCCCCAGCTGGGCGGCATGGCAGGGCAGCGTGGCAGCATGGCAGGGTGGTGTGGCTGGTGGCATGGCATGGCAGCATGGCTGGGTGGCGTGGCGTGGCCCTCAAGCAGGGACAGGACCAGAGCAGACCCAGAGCCTCATGCGCCAGCGCGTTGCCATGCGACGCCTGGACAGCCCAGGTGGCCCACCCAGCGACCGAGGAGGGGCCGTGTGCCGGCGTCTATTAGGAAGGGCTCCTGGGGGGGGGCGGGGGGCCTGCGGTCCGCTCCCAGACCTCAGCCAGCCCCGGGGCCTCTGGGATGACCTCAGAGCCACTGGAGTCAGAGGAAATGTGCCTTTGAGCCCCGTGTGGATCAGTCACTGGACGCACACTGTCAGAAGCGTGGTGGGACCGTGGGTGGGGCGGTGCTTTTTCTGCCACAAGTATCCCCAGAGAGGACCCGCCCACTGAGCGCCGTCACCCGGCAGCGGGAGGGGCACGGGTGTCGTTCCCGGGGGCCGGCAGAGCCACACGCCCGTACCCACCAGCGGGACAGGGAAGACTTCGACCATCGAACCACGTGTTCACAAGGAACAAATAAGCTCCACTCTCATCTCGCCACACACAGAGGCCAAGCTGAGATGGGCCCCAAGCCAAATACAAACGCGCAGAGTATAAAATTTAGAGGACAGAACCCTGAAGGATTTGTGAGCTGGGCTCAGGCAGACTTCACAGTTAGGAAACTCAAGGCGTGAACTGTAAAAATTTTAAATTGATGAAATAAACTTCATCAGAATCCCAAACTGCTAGTCGTCAAAGGCATTGTTAAAGGGGCGCCTGGCTGGCCCAGTCAGCTGAGCGCCCGACTTCGGCTCAGGTCATGATCTCACGGTTCATGAGTT